ACTTTTAGTAACCATATAATAATGGTATTACTATTTTGAAACTGTTATATGTATTCTAAGATAAAGCAAATAAATGATTTTACTAGTGTCATTTGGAACCAAGAAACTCAACCCAAGTGATGGTAGGTATAAATAGAAAAATCAAAGAAGTAAAAAACCTACAAATTTAAATTGAAAATATTGGTATTAATCCTTAATACATTGTCTCTAAAAATACACATATCCTAACTCATTAAAAAAAAATCTTACAAACAATAACCAATCCACTCAGGTTGCAGTTTAATTTCCAACATAAACAGAAGCAAGGCTTTTTGATGAAATGCCCTAGTTACAGTTTGAGGCAAGAAATACACAAGATGAGCCTGGTTCATCTTGTCAGACCAGAAAGTGAGGAAGCTGTCAAAGACAACTTGAGGTCTTGTGAAAAGGATTCAGGAAGTAATAAAGGGTTTCCTGTTCTCTAAAGAGGGGACAGTTTGGGTATTAATGATGATAATGGATTGTAAACCGTTTCAAATAATTTCAGTGAGACTTAGAACATTATTGGTTGTCTTATCTTGAAAGGTTGCTAGCAATTTAGCTCATTTTGAAAGCTGAAAAAGAAGGAAAATAAGTGAAAATGCCTTTCCTGTGTGAACTGTACCTCAAAAGTTAACAAATATAATGGGGGAAAACTTCTCATTATATAAATATTCCACCTATTAGTGAAGAAATGATATAATGGGTAAGTAAAGAATAACAATATCACTATTTTACTGCCTTTAAATAAGTAGTGGATGAGCTTGTGTAGGGCTCATGAGGAACTATGTAATGAAGGGATAAGGCTGAAAATAACATGAGCATACACATCAGACAACCTCACACACAGAGACAACCAAACATTGTTTTTTTTTTTTTTTTTACTAGAGGTCTACAGGAACTTTTCAGACATGTTCTTGCCAAGGAAAACTGAATTAAGTCTGAGCCTCTAGATCTGACAATTTATAAGAAACACAAGGGACAGAAAAATATGTCAAATAATACCACAGAAGTACAGTTAGTAAAATCTGAAAACCAGGAAGTGTCTGCAGGAAAAACTGCCTAATTTATTCCACAAAATAAATTGCAGGGGGAAAAGAAGAGGGAGAGGAAACTGTTAGGTTAATGAAAGAGACTTAAATATGTGATTCAGCCGCAGAATATGAACCATGTTTGTATTTCCATTCAGTCAGTGAAGAAATGAAATCAACTAAAAAGATAAACTAAACTGGATATTTAATATTATTTAATAATAATTTCATATTTAGCATTAAGAAAATAAGTGATTTTTTAAAAAAATGATACTAGTTTTGTGGATGTTTAAAAATAGTGGAGTTTTTGTTGTTTGTTTTTACATGTAAGTACTAAAGTATGGATGAAATTTCAGTATGTTTGAGATTGTGTGTTTGTGGAAAGCTAGATTATTTGAAACAAAATTGGTATGAGTTGATAATTGTGAAGCTGGTTGATAGATAAATGGTTATTTGATTGCTCTTGTTCATATTTGAAATTGAGCATAAAAACAGTCTTGAAAAGAAACTTTAATTTGAATTGCTGTTTTATCTTTTAAATGTATTTTTTTTTACTTAATTTACCCTAAGAAAACTCTTTTATCTAAGTACCCATATGATGAGTTTTCTTTTGTAAATTGAGAATGATAAGGGAAAGAATTCAGTATTTTTAATAATCTTCTGCCTTATACTATTGGGCTATTGAGATTTAATATAATTCATAAGGATAACTCTTAAGTGGTATACAGATACTTATATTGTATTAAAAAATCAGTGGTATTGATTACTACCTAAATAAATAAAATGTTAATTGGAGCTGAGAAATATTTTTATAGTCGAACTCTATTTGTGAATTTTATATAAGATATTAAATCCTTAAGCATCTTTGATTTGTTTGCTTATGTATATATCCATTCACTCACCAAACATATATTGAGCCCTTCATTTAGTGCTCAGCATACAAAGAACAAGTAAAAATTCCAGCACTCTAGGAACATACGGTAGAATACCAAAAAATAAAACAGAAAGTACAGTGAATATTACATAATGTGCTTATAGCTAAGATAGTAACAGGTACAGGATATTGTGGGAATACTGTGGTAAGTATTCCTGCTTTAATGTGTGTGTGTGTGTGTGTGCGCTAGTTGCTTAGTCATGTCCGACTTTGTGACCCCATGGACTGTAGCCCACCAGGCTCCTCTGTCCATGGGATTCTCCAGGCCAGTAATACTGGAGGGGGTTGCCATTTCCTTCTCTAAGGCATCTTCCTGACCCAGGGATGAAACCCCGGTCTCCTGCATTGCAGGCAGACGCTTTACCATCTGAGCTAGGGCAGCCCTTCTGCTCGGAAAGCTTTAATGTTAGGGTGATTTAATTTTGGAGTCAGGAGAGATTTGTCAGAGAAGTATCCATGAAGTGAGGCTCAAGTAGAAATTATATAGTGAAAAAATAAAAAAAGGAAGTAATTGTGCAAAAGCAGAAAGTGGAAAGAGAACCTCACTTTCTGAGAATTACAAGTAGTATGCCATCACTGAAAACAAGGGTGTAGATGGGAAACTGGCTGGAGACAGGTTGGCAGAGACAGATTCCTGCACCTCATAGATGTTTGACTTTTGTTACAGAACCACTAAAGACTTACCTAGTTAGGCCATGTTTGATTTTTATTTTGGAAACAGCATATGCAACAGTGGATTGAAATAGAACTACTTCATTACGGAGAGGCTTTTTACCTGTTTTTCGTCAGAATTTTATGTCTCACTGTTACCCCCTTCCCCAAACCTATATATATTTATCTCTCAAGTATTAGAATTTCCTTTTAAAATAAATTGTGTAAAACATTTGCATGGTTCAGAAATTGACAGTTCATTTCAATCCTTGTTCCTTCTGCTTTCTTCTTTCCCCTCTCTTTGTAGGTAACCATTTTTAACTTAATTGTTCTATACACCATTACTGCTTTTGAAAAAAAGCATAAGCAAATATGTGTAAATATTTCTCCCGTCACACACAAAGGAAGCATACTATAAACGCAGTTTTTATCTTGCTTTTTTTACATAACTGTGTCTCATTCTATGGCAGTATATAAGGTATTCCTTACTAATTCTGTGTATATTCTTAGTCTGGCTATGAACAATTTAAGTGAAATGAATACTTCATGCTTTTAATGCCTAAGGTGAAGACATTCTGATAATAAGGCTATGCCTTTAGAGTAGTCTAGGCTCAGGCTGTTTGCCGGAGCTACTTTCACCTGAAGTGTGTGAAAGGAAGAGCCCTGCATCCACTTAAGGATATTGACACATTAACAAGGGATCTTGAAGGAATTTTGACTAGCTATTTTATGACTACTCAGGAGATAATGAAGAATATAGGCCCATGATAGCTCCCAGATTCAGTTATCCATCCGTTTACTTTTTAGGTATTTACTGAGTGTCCACCTGTGTTGTGTAAGATACTCTGGGAAAAAATAAACAGTACCTTCAAGGAGCTTATAAGCATTTAAAATGATACCCCTTCTACTTAATTCTTCTTTCTAAAGGATTAGTTCATCTTCACTTTCTTCTAAATGTTCTCCAGTTACTGTGCCTGACTTGTTTGTGTTCTTCATACCCCCTGGTTGAATTATTTTAAATATAACCCAGAGGTATTTATTGGTTGACATGACTCTCTCTCCATACTAGGTTAGAAGTTCTTATAATGGTAAGGACTATTTGTCTCATCTTGGTCTTCCCAGTGCCTAGCAAATGATAGTTTTTTGCTAAAGTAATAAATGAAAAATGTCGCTTACCTAGTGGGTTAAAGGAAAAATGAAATTGTGTGTCAGGAAAAATATCTTCTCTGATATTCTTACTGAAATTTCAAGGGCCCAAATAGAATGCAGAATGGTCAATTTTGTTTTTTAATTAAAAGGCACTATGCTATTCTTGAACCATGTGTCTGTAGGGTAGAAACTGTGGCAGAAATGGTCTTGATGTAGGCTTTAAGATGGAACTTTTTGTTTACTCTTCCTATGAAGAAAAACATATTCCACTAGGATCCCAAATTTTAAAAAAGTAGGTGTGTGTTTGTTCACACTGTAAGCAAAACTTTTAGAACCAAATGTCTTCTTGTAAACTTTTATGTCTGTGTTTCCATGTAGAAACTATTAATGCCTTGCTCTCAAAAATTACTTTTAGGAAGGGTTACTGTTTGATCTTGTAGTCTTTGTAGAGTAATACCTCCATCTAGTGGTGTTTCTGAAAACTACAGCAAGAGAATTAAGCTTGAGTTTTTTTGCTTTGTGTGTGTGACGTTACCTGTTGTTTCTCATAAAGTCAGATAAAATTACATCAAAAGCTGAGTCTGCCATGCATTTTAAAAATTTAATGCCCTGGTTTTCAGCGCTTCAAATGTAAACACCAGTTAACAAATGGCCTTTCGGATAACATTGATTTACACAGTCATTTAGGTCCAGACCATTTCTAGCTTGCTTTGGACTGGAAATAAGTGCTGAAAAGTGTGTGTGTGTGTACAGAGGCTAGGAAAGATTTTGAAAATTTACTATTTCAGACTTATCACTATGGAACCATAAAAGATTGAATAATTTTCTCAGAGAAGAATTCAGTAATCTTATTTTTTAGTCAGTTATACTTTATCATAGCTTAGTTACATATCAGATAGCCTTTTAAGGATAGGGGCTGTGTCTTAAATATTTTGTTATTCTAAGTTTCTAGCCCAGGATTCTGTACTTGGTAGGTTTTGTTCATTACCCTTGGAGGAAGATTGTGATCTAATTGCTTATGTTTTAGCCCAAGCTACTAAATTTATCAAGTCAGTTATTGCTGTAAATTAACATTAATTCCTTTTTCTATTTGTTTGGCTATGGAAGGTTGACATACTAAACAACCAAGGCTTAATGATGTGGAGCTTTTTGCTGAGTTAAGAAAAGCTAAATTTTGAATTAATTTTGTTTGAAATCTGTTTATTTTTAAATTGTAGCCAGTCGGATGATGATTCTGGGTCAGCTTCAGGCTCTGGATCTGGTTCGAGTTCTGGAAGCAGCAGTGATGGAAGCAGTAGCCAGTCAGGTAGCAGCGACTCAGACTCTGGATCCGAATCGGGCAGTCAGTCGGAGTCTGAGTCAGATGGTTCCCGAGGAGGTAAAGTTCAAGCGAGACCACCGAGAGCTGATGGAGCTGAGGTAATGAATAATGTGTCCAATGACAGGTAGATTTCCTGTATTACTTTGGGAAAACGTACAGCATTGGTTTAGAGCATTCTTGATCTAGCTTTTAGAAAATGTTGATTTTAAGTATTAAAATGCACTTTAAATTATTCTCAAACTTGGTGTCATCTGGCTTGGAAGAGCAGCAGTCTGTAACTGTTGATGTATAAGACAAGTATAAGATGAACACACATGAAATGTGTTTTGAAGCAGACATTGTTACATAAATACTCAGTGTCTCGTGGATAAAAATTTAAGGATTTTGAGGTCTTTTTGTTAATTTTACAGTGTTAGTCTACTTTCAACATCTTCAGAGGGTATAATATATTGCCAATAGGAGTATTTAATAGAATTCTGCTTCCTTGAAGATATGTGGTAGAATATGCCAAGGGCCATTCTGTTTAAAAAAAGCAATTATAAGATTTAGTAAAACTTTGTATACACCACAATAGTATACAGAGTGTTACTTAGAGTACCAGTCATGATACCATGCTTGGGCCAGAATATACACACAGCTTCTTTAATGTAGGAAGTTCTGCTACCAGAAACAAAGAAGTCAGTTGAACTAAAACTGTGCTTAGTTAATTTGCATTCTGACTCAAGCTCCTCGTCTTCACCTCACACCAGTTAAAAAGATAGGTGGCCACACTTTGAATAGCACTGGTGGCATGTATTATCATGTTGTTTTTGACAATAGTCCTAACACCAAAGAATATATTGATTAAGGCTGTCTATCTGTGAAACTCAACACACCATAAATTAATTATATACATCTAAATCTCAGCATTTATTTTAATTATATTGCAGCAATATTGTTTTACATATATGTGAGTAAGGAAAATAGTCTTACTATTATTTATTATTTGGAGGCAGTGAAAATGTTGATATTGGTTTTCAGTAGATTATCCTTTTCCAGTTTTCTCAAAACTTTGTATATCTTCACTTGTGTATATCTCTATTACAGTTCTGGAAATCGAGCCCTAGTATTTTGGCTGTTCAGAGATCTGCAATGCTTAAGAAGCAGCAGCAGCAGCAGCAGCAGCATCAAGCTTCATCTAATAGTGGATCAGAGGAGGTGACTGTTCATTGTGAAAACTGTTATCTGAAAAGTAGCCTTGATGCCTGATTATTTAACTGGGGGCTATTTATGAAATTACTAGAAAGAGTACGGGTATTAGAAGGATAGGAAAATAACTACATTTAAGTGTGCATCAGTAGCCTTGAAATATAGACATATTTTTACTATGAACAGTGTAGTTCCTGTGTGCACATGAGCACGCATGCGTGTATGTTTGCACAAAAACATTCAGGAAGAATTATAGATTTCCCCACCTATCCGAAAATGGAGTGTCCTTTTTCCTAAGCCAAGTGGTATAGAAAAGCAAAGAGGCTCTTTCCTTAAGACACATCTTGGTAACTGTCATGGGGAAAGTGAGGTAAGCACAGATGTTCACAGGCACAGTTCAGAATCCTGGCAGCTCAGTGCCGAGATAGTTCCCAGGGAAGGCGCTTGAAGGTGCCACCTGCATGCTTGCCACCTCAGTAACAGCTTGCTGCGAAACAAATGCTAATTGCTCTTTTTGCTGGGTTTTGTAAAAGTGAACATTCTCTTCAGATTTGTTTCAGTTAGTGAAAACAGTGGCTAGTGTAGGTTCTTTTGTAAAAGTGTAGTGGTAAGTTTAACTTTCAAAGATTGGGGGGGTATCTGTATATCAAAAACTGCCTACAGAGGAAGAAAAATACTAAATGAGGATTTGACATACCAATAATTAGGATTCCTTTTTGAGGTCTTACTAGGCAACAGTAGTAGTATCCAGAAATGGTAGATTATAAGATTTTATACAAAATGCTGACATGGTGATGTTTACCTGATTTCACTGACTGTTACATATTTGCAGTAAAAATGTAATTACTTTATATGCTAATTTATGGTATAAATGTGACATGGAAAAAAGTCTTTACAGTTTTATTAGTAAAGTGAATGTTTAATAGTATGACAAGGAAAAATGTTACTATAGTTGAATTCTAATCATTAACAGCGTTAACTTTGTATATTTTTCTCTACAGGATTCCTCTAGCAGTGAAGATTCCGATGACTCATCCAGTGAGGTCAAAAGGAAAAAGCATAAAGAGTACGCCATTTTGTTCAACTGGTTACTTTCATATCAAGAAAATCCCAGTGATTTATATTTCTTCCTTTATGACCAATTGTTGCCAGAAGTGAACTTCTTGGTTCAGGGCATTTTATTAGGTTAATTTAAACCATTAATTCTTTTATGTTTCTGTGACACATGAGTTTTTTTGTGCCACTTGTTTATCTCCTATAAGACCTCTCACGTATTTTTTTTTAACTTCAAAGATCTTCTTAGTCACAATATCAGAAGATCTTAATAACTTGAAAAACTTAGATAGGAATGTTGGGACCAAAGATGATGGATTTCAGATAGTTCTGATATGAATAACTATCCTTTTATTTGTCTGCAAGTGAAATTTACTTCCTCTTTAGAATTCATTTAGCAACTCACTGTAATTTCCCAAAGATCTTGACCCAGGAAGTGTTAAAAATACTTCAAGTCTCAGTTCTGATATTTTAGATGGTCTGAGTTGTTTCCTCTCTCATTTCTTCAAAAACATTGTTCCGTTGTCTTATCTCTCTGTCTTGGATATTCTGCACTTTCACACTGGTGCATCCAGCTTTGGATTTGTTATTTATTTATCCCACTTTATGCACTTTATTTTATGCATCTTTAATATGAAGATTCATGAGTTTTACTAGTTTCTAAAAATTCTGTCATTGTATCTCTTGGCATTTTCTCTTTTTTGTTCTATAAATTTCTGTTACTATAGTTAACATGTATATTTTATCTGTCTTGGATCATCCCTATTTTTATATATCTTTTGGATCACCCTTCCAGTCCTCCATGAGTCTTACTTTATCACATGTTTTATCCTTTGATTGCTGTGCTATATTCTGGCTGATTTATTTAGATCTGTCTTTTGTTTCACTAAGTGTGTTTTCAGCTACTGTGTCTTATCAACTGTTCAACTTTTCCACTGAATTAGTAATTTCTAAACTTAGTATGAGTGCAAGCAAAGAATATTTTTAAAATATGAGTAATTTAGGATGATGGCTAGATTTTTGGGGGATATAAAAATCATTATAATACTTACTGTAAAAATACAAAATGGAGATTTTTTTTTTCATTTATCCTGCCTATTGCTATGTCTAATGTGCAAACTGAAAAAAAATCTCAAGATAAAAAATTAGCTTCTGCCATTATGTTTTTTTTAATATCATAAACCAGATTTTATCATGTCGCTTGCTCATGCAGCCCTTAGCCTGACACAGTTGTAACTGATGTGAGCCGTGCAGAGCACTGGAGCAGAAACGGTGGCTTGGACACAGAATGTGGTGTGTGTGAGCCTTAATGTGCGCCTTCCACTCAAAGCTAATGCTGCAGTAGAGTGTCAGCAGGGAGTACAGTGCTTTGTTCTTTCCATGTTATTTGGAATTAAATAGACTGAAGATAGTAATAAGGGTAAGGTAGTTAGTGACTGTTGGTTAAGATGGGATGTTTTTATTTTTTTCTTCAATTTTTTGATACCTTATTTTAAGTTTCTTAATGTATAATATTTTAAAAATCATTTTTTAAAGGGTATGTTTTTAAAAATCACAATCTCCACAAAATTAAAATGAAAGGAATTATTATAGAATCTATTTTGAAATGGCAAGTATAACTAGACAGGATTTTCAAAATTAAGCACTGTGACTCTAAATTAGCATACTGTGTTTTCACCTAAACTACACTTACTTGAGTTACATTTTGAGGTATGATTAAATGAGTAACAAAAAACTCTGGAGTTGGAGAAATCTATAAAGAATATTTTCCAGCATTTTCTTATTCTACAGATAATTGAGTATTTTTATAAAAAGTGAAAATGATATTTTTTATATTAGCTGGAATATAATTTAGCTTGATTATTTTTATATTTTTTCAGACAAAATTTGCTATATATGTATAAGTTTTATTTGTGGTGTCTCAGAGGGTAAAGCGTCTGCCTGCAACAGGGGAGACCCTGGTTCCATCCCTGGATTGGGAAGTTCCCCTGGAGAAGGAAATGGCAACCCACTCCAGTACTCTTGCCTGGAGAATCCCATGGATGGAGGAGCCTGGTAGGCTACAGTCCATGGGGTTGCAAAGAGTCAGACACGACTGAGCGACTTCACTCACTCATGTATAAGTAAACATCCTTTATATATTTTACATTCAGTGAAGATTGGCAGATGTCTGGATCGGGATCTCCCTCTCAGTCTGGTTCGGATTCAGAATCTGAAGAAGAACGAGATAAAAGCAGTTGTGATGAAACAGAATCTGATTATGAGCCAAAAAATAAAGTTAAAAGTAGAAAACCTCAAAATAGGTAAGTATAGTATGTTCTTGGTTTGATTCTGAAAATTGTTGGTTATAGAAGGTATTCGTTCTTTTTCTTAGAGTTTCTCAAATCTTGTTTTATACCAGTATTTCTATAAAATACCTCTTTTCTTCGGTTTTCCCTAGATCCAAGTCAAAAAATGGAAAAAAGATTGTTGGACAAAAAAAGAGACAGATTGATTCATCTGAGGAGGAGGAGGATGATGAAGAAGAATATGATAATGATAAAAGAAGCTCCCGTCGCCAAGCAACTGTCAATGTTAGCTATAAAGAAGATGAAGAAATGAAAACAGATTCTGATGACCTCCTGGAAGTCTGTGGAGAGGATGTTCCTCAACCTGAGGAAGAGGAATTTGAAACAATAGAACGGTTTATGGATTGTCGGATTGGAAGAAAAGGAGGTATTAAAGAAAAAGAAAAGAAACCATTTTTGTTTTTGTTTTTCAGTAATATTTACTAGAGTGAATTTTTTCCTAAAGACTTTTCAACTTTGAAAGCTGAGAGTGGAGTTTTTACTTTTATACTTATTTGCTATAAAATATACCTTGCTTCTGGAGAAGGAAATGGCGACCCACTCCAGTATTCTTGCCTGGAGACTCCTATGGGCAGAGGTCCCTAGCAGGCTACAGTTCATGGGTTGCACAGTCGGGCACGACTGAGCGACTAACACACACACACACACACACACACCTTGCTTAAACTGAGCGACTAAAACACACACACACCCACACACCCACACACACACCTTGCTTAAACTGAGTGATTAACACACACACACACACACACACACACACCCCTAGCTTGCTTAAACTGAGCGACTAACACACACACACACACCTTGCTTAAACTGAGCGACTAAAACACACACACACACACACACACACACCTTGCTTAAACTGAGCGACTAACACACACACACACCTTGCTTAAACTGAGCGACTAACACACATACACCTTGCTTAAACTGAGCGACTAACACACACACACACACCTTGCTTAGGGTTTCCCTGGTGGCTCAGTGGGAAAGAATCTATTTTGAGGTATTGTCCTACTTCTGATAAGCTTGAATCTTATCTCTCAGTCAATGAATTTCCCCCTCCCTCCTTCTCTTTTCCATATATTTGTGAACATACAGTTTATCTTTCTCTTGACTTATTTTACTTAACATGATGCTACTGAGGTCAATCCATGTTGTTACAGATAGCAGATTTCCTCCTTTTTATGGCTGAATAGTATTCCATTGTATATGTACGTACAGTGTGTTTTTATCCAGTCATCTGTTGGACGCTTACAGTCTTTCCATGTGTTACCTGTTATAAGTAATGTAACAGTGAACATGGGAGTGCAGCTATCTCTTCCACATAGTGATTTCAAACATGTAGTTTTTAAGATGATTTTTAGTTAATCATTCTCTTCTGGAATTCAGTTTCTTTTATGAATGTATAATGTAGTTTCCTATAAACTCATACCCTGTTTGTTACTTGAGCACATATTTTTCTGTTTATATTCTTGAAATTTTGAGTTGAAATACTTCTATAACAGAATCACATGGAAGTATCGTACTTTTTTTTTCAGCTACTGGTGCTACTACAACCATCTATGCAGTTGAAGCGGATGGTGACCCGAATGCAGGATTTGAAAAGAATAAGGAACCAGGAGAGACCCAGTATTTAATTAAATGGAAAGGGTGGTCACATATCCACAATACTTGGGAGACAGAGGAAACCCTTAAGCAGCAGAATGTTAGAGGAATGAAAAAATTAGATAATTATAAGAAAAAAGATCAGGAAACAAAAAGATGGTATGTTTTATGTTGGAGTTAAAAATTAGTGATGTTTAAATTTATTTGTTTCAATTTCTTCATTATTCAAACTGATTCACATTTGAGTGACAAGATGGGAGATTTTGTGCTACAGATGGGATTTAGGGGAGATTTTTAACTTTGTTCTTGGGTTAATAATCTTTCAGGTTGAAAAATGCTTCTCCAGAAGATGTGGAATATTATAATTGCCAGCAAGAACTTACAGATGATCTCCATAAGCAGTATCAAATAGTGGAGCGAATAATTGGTTAGTAATAAATGATTCTGATTAAACATTTATTTTTCCACGCTTGAAGTCATCTGAAAACTTAGTTTTGCTTGCACATCAAATACAGTATTTTGCTTTTATAATAATAATAGTGTAAACCAGATGGCTTATTTTTACTTGTATAGTTTTTACCAAGAATTATTCTTTGGATGAAATTCAGTGTAAAATATATCTGATTTATCTCACAGCTCATTCCAATCAGAAGTCAGCTGCTGGCTATCCTGATTATTATTGCAAATGGCAGGGCCTTCCATACTCAGAGTGCAGCTGGGAAGATGGCGCTCTTATTTCCAAAAAGTTTCAAGCATGCATAGATGAGTATTTCAGCAGGAATCAGTCAAAAACCACTCCTTTTAAAGACTGCAAAGTGAGTAGTTTGCCATTTTTAATTATTAAAACTGTATTTATGCATCATAAATATTACAAGCCCACATAGAGAGTTGGATCCTGATTTCATACAGGCTACAGGAGAGAACTGCTTGGATGGTAGGTCCTATAGGAAATTATATTCCTGTAATTACTGTGCCATTTTAGATGTGGCACTGTCTTCTAGACTTGGTGACTGAAACTGTGTCAGAAAGATAATAAATTGGTGGTGGCAGTTGTGGGGACTGGGTTAGGGAGATCAAAAAGGGAAAATTTCTTAGAAACTAGATGTATATGCTTGATTTAAAAGGTAGTGAATATTATCATTGATGATAGGAAAGGCTAAGAGGGATGTCCCCATAAGAAAGTGTCAAGGACTGCCTTGCCTAATATTTAAAAGTTAACTACTAGTGATAGTTTGGGGTCTGTGTACTACTAGAATTTGTTTTCTTATTATAAGATTTAATTAAATTCATAAGGGTAATTTAGAAATGAGAAATCAAATGGAAAGTTAAACCAGTTTTATGTTTTATTTCTAGGTCAGGGCTGGAACTGTGGTTAAATGACTGAATTTAACATAGCTTTTACTTGTGAAGCATGTGAGATCCAAGTATTTAAACAAGAACTCACTTACCTATGTCATTTTTTGTTCCCAAAAAAGACCAGAATATTTCACTGTACATTGTTATAGAAAACAGACTTCTTTCAGTCCTCATGTATATTTTTTTGTGGAATTTCTGAGCGTGATGATTTGAGATGAAATTTTAAAATTTATGGTAAAAGCTGAGATCTTCATCTTTTAATATGATTTATGTTTAATAATTCATGTCAATATTTGTTTCTACAAAAGGTATTAAAACAAAGGCCAAGGTTTGTAGCCCTAAAGAAGCAGCCATCCTATATTGGAGGACATGAAGGATTAGAATTAAGAGATTATCAACTGAATGGTTTAAATTGGCTTGCTCACTCTTGGTGCAAGTACGTATATTTTGAATTGTTTATTTAAGAGGATAAAATTTTTACAAATACGGGGTTTGGAAAAGATTTCCACCAGCATAAAGGATAAGACCCTCTGGTATTTATGTATAGGTCTTTGAATTTCGTATTATATAAACAGTTGTTTAGTTGCTCGGTCGTATGGACTACATAGCCTGCCAGGCTCCTCTGTCTGTGGAATATCCCAGGCAAGAATACTGGAGTGGGTTGCATTTGCTTCTCCAGGGGATCTTCTCTTCCCAGGGATCGAACCTGTCTACTGTCTTGGCAAGCGGGTTCTTTAGCATTGAGCCACCAGGGAAGCCCTGTATAAACAGTACTTCTTATATTAAGAAGAAAAAGAGCCTTTTGATTGTTGCAGTATTTAAATATGTTTTAATTGAAATTAGAATATGTATACATTGTTTCACAGTGTGGGCTGGTTCTCTTCCAGTTATTCCTAATAGCTATTTTGGCTTCTGTTTTTCTCTTCCTTTCTCTTGTGTCGCCTACTCTGTTTTTGGCAGTGTAGGTGACTAGGGTGCAGTTTTTTTGTTTTTTAAAACTTTAATGTAGCTGTAGTTTTATCTGGACTCTACCACTTGTAGATGGATTGTGTCCTTATCTCCATAACTGACTGTAAATAATTCTGTTAATTTTTAAGCTGCTTTTATGTTCTAAAATCATAAACTCTCTCTTATACTATTACAGTTAATAAAAATGCGTATTGTAAATAATACCTATCAGATTAATCTGATTTAACTTCATATAAATTTGTACATGGATTATGTATAAAGGTTACTTGCAAATTTGAGTCTTTATTGCATACATGATTTTTGTTTTTCATTTTGCAGAGGTAATAGTTGCATACTTGCTGATGAAATGGGCCTTGGAAAAACAATACAGACGATCTCATTTCTGAACTATTTGTTTCATGAACACCAATTATATGGACCTTTTCTGTTGGTCGTACCACTCTCCACTCTCACTTCCTGGCAAAGGGAGATTCAGACATGGGCTTCTCAAATGAATGCTGTAGTTTATCTAGGTGACATCAACAGCAGAAACATGGTAAGTTGTTTGCCACAAATTTAGAAATTTAGACAAACTCATCTTTGAGGACAAGTCTTTGGTCTTTATAAAGTCTTAGTTTCCAGCATTAAACTTGTTACACAGTAAGATTCATCACATGTTTGATTGGCTTAATAAACATTACTTTTTGTTTTAGTGTTATTATATGTATATTTTTCCTGCCTTATTACAAGTTTGAAATGCACATGAAGCCTACAGAAGAACGCAATGAAGTCCCCACATCCTCACATCCAGCTGCGCAGCTTTAACCCTTGCCTGCTCTACTTCATCTGTCCCTCTACATGAGACTTTTCCTCCCAGTTACATTGTGACGCAAACCCCAGACATATTTTATCCACAAAAGAGAAATCACTCTTGTTTGGTCATATGAACAGTTTCTTCAATGAAAAGCATATATTAAAAATGTGGCTATTAAAAAAAAAATGTGTTTTTTTTTCATGGAAGGTTTTGATATGCTGGAGTATTTATATTTTACTTAAAAGTAAGATCAGTGTAGCTTGTACTGTATAAAGAATTGTTATTTTATTACATAAACATATAGATGGGTTTTTTGTATTTTGAATGGATTTAACTTCAGATATTCAAGTAAAAGTATACTTTTTAAAAAGATGTTTATTTTTAAATTGTCTTTGAAATTTCTTGATAGATACGAACTCATGAATGGATGCATCCCCAGACCAAACGGTTAAAATTTAATATACTGTTAACAACTTATGAAATTTTGTTGAAGGATAAGGTATGTATTAATCTGTTTTTCTGTTTGGTGTGTATCAGTTTTTCCTTTACGTTGTGGATAGGCTAAAAAGATAAACATAAATCAGTGGTCAGCAGATTCAAAGTCTGTGGATCAAGTCCGGTTTATCTGTTCATTTATTTTTTTTATGATCCTTGAGGTAAGGTTGATTTTTACATTTTTAAGTCTTGTAAAAATAAACCAAAGGATATGAAACTAGTTTGGTATAGTGTCTGTTGATTTGTAAGGTCTTTAAAGAGGAGAAAGGATTACACTACCACTGGGTAAATGCTTTATAGCTATTGTCTTCTTTAATTCTTCATAATTACTTTATAATACACTTCTGTCCCTATTGTGAAGAAAAGTCAGAGTCTCAAAGAGACTTTGCCTAAACTTGCCTAAAGTCATGCAACTTTTAAGTAGCAGAATCAGGCTCGTCTCCATAAGTCAGAGACCTTTGTATATATATTGTAAATAAACAGTTCATAAAAATCATAGCAGTAAATTGTAACTACACTTGGAGTTAGATACTGTTCCAAATTTATTTTGTCCAATTTAACATTAATGAGGTTTTTACTGGACTTAGGCTATAAGCATTGTGAAATTTTAAAATGACACTATAGTTTTTATTTTCAGTATGTAAGCTAATAAAAACTTTCACTTGATAATTATACTGTTTTTCTAATGGCTGAGTTAGTCATGGAAGGAACTTTTGTTTTTCATTCTGAGTTACTTGAAGATTCCAATAAATTTTAGAATAGTACGTACTTTTTATTTGAAATATTGGACATAGTTTTGTTTTTAAACTTGCCTCATTTTAATGATTTGAATTCCATTTTTCTCTAGAAATATTAACTATGTTCTTCTGTTCATTTTAAGGCATTCCTTGGAGGTCTGAATTGGGCATTTATAGGTGTGGATGAAGCGCATCGATTAAAGAATGATGACTCTCTTCTGTATAAAACTTTAATAGATTTTAAGTCCAATCACCGTCTCCTTATCACTGGAACTCCTCTGCAAAACTCCCTCAAAGAACTCTGGTCTTTGCTACATTTCATTATGCCAGAAAAGTAAGATAAGATACAATTTTAATGTTAGTTTCATTTGCTAAGTTTAGCAGGAAAATAATTAGTGTAGATAATAAGGTCAGAAGAAGGTTTTATTGTCCCAAACATTGGATCAGAGATTATTAAGAAGAAAAGAAATGGGACGGAATAGAATTTGAAATAATATTTTGATTTTTCAATTTTGTAAATAAATAAGCTTGAGCCATGGATAATAAATTATAACAGTTGATTTTGCCTGTTCAGAATATCCCTTTAAAATGGAAATAGTATCATTCTTAAACAGTAGCAATAACAAGAACAAGGTATTGTTCGAAAATTCCATTTTCTAATAATTTTAGGGAAAGCAGATTAAATAAGATAAATAACTTGCCCAAGGTCATACACATATTTTCTTTCAGTAGTTTTATAACTTTCTTTGAGAAATATTTTAGTGATAATTACTCCCATACTTGAAAATATTTATTTAACTCAAGGAAAGTAAGCAATTTTTCATAAAATAGCTTATATTTTACATCTGTAGATATATAATAGATTTCTTAGAAGGATAGTTATTAGAAGTGATTAATTTTAACTAATTTTTCCCCCCTAAAAATCTGTATTTTGTTTATGTCTGACTATGCTGTAAAATATCAAATGCAATTTGACTTCTTTCACTGATCCTTCCATTTGCTTAAATTTTTAAGGTTTTCTTCCTGGGAAGATTTTGAAGAAGAACATGGCAAAGGCAGAGAATATGGTTATGCAAGCCTCCACAAGGAGCTTGAGCCGTTTCTGTTGCGCAGGGTTAAGAAAGATGTGGAAAAATCTCTTCCTGCCAAGGTTGAACAGATTTTAAGAATGGAAATGAGTGCTTTACAGAAACAATATTACAAGTAAGCTGTAAACAGAGCAAATGTTCAGAGGTGCCCCCCAGCCCCGATTGGGTCTTAGAGAGTAGTAACAACTCTTGAATTTTAGAATAGGTTTATTCTATGGCATACTGAGGCAGAGAGAGATTTAATGGCATGTCTAAGATCACAGGTGATACAAGACTAATTCATCTTATAGCACATCATTAATTGTGTTTCTTTATTTTGTTCTATGTTACATTATAGAAGGTTTCTTTTTAAGTTTTAGGATTGCCATGATACCAAGGTATTATTATGTAATTCTGATAATTATGTTATTGACAAGTGGAAGTAGAAGCCAGAGAAACAAACTTAGAACAAAATTTTAGGCCCCTCTGCTTTTTGAAAAATGTTAATAAATCATATTTTGTATAATTTATGTATGTTGGTTCTGTATAGTAACACTTCAAAGAATCAAAAAGAAATATCCGTCCTAGTTTCTCTTTAGACGTTCACTTGCATAAAGCTCTGCTTCATGCATTTGAACTCTCAGTAACATATTTTATGATAAATCTATAAGTGCCATTCACTTTAAAAATACATTTACTACATAAATGTTACATTTTTGTTATGGAAAACTTCAGACCATATACAAAATAGGATAATAAACTCCATCACTCAAGCTTGGTCTTCAGCTCATAGCCAGCCAACCTCACTTGCCCTATCCATGTCATTTTGAGACAAATCAGATAAAATTGTTTCAAGTTCCTTCAAAAACTAACCTTGTACAAAGGAAGAAAATAAAAGATGTTAGACAAGGTAAATCATGGTGAGAGGAAATGTTATGTATAATTTGCAGTAATAAAATAGCCACTTATAATTTATCTCTTAAGTTGCATGTGTATTGTATAACTATTTTAGAGAAGGCAGTTTGGCTAAACCAGGTATCCTCATGAGGTGTGAGGTATCTGCATTAGTTCCTCAGCATAGCAAAATTTGTTGGAAAGTTATGATAGATTATAAAGTTGACCATTTTAAAAATAAATTTGGGGGTAAAGGATTAATGCACTATTAATGCATTATGCACTATTAATTCACTATGTTATAATGGTTCAGATAACTATGTGTTGTCATGAGTCTTATAAATGAGGTTCATTTAGTTTTGTGAACACAGTTTAGTCCTTTGTCTTTGGAGTTGAACTTCATAATGGTGCAGTTTTGGTTTGGTACTTAATTTTTTTTATGGTTTTAGAATTCATCCTGGTAATTATTCTGCTACATCATTTTCATAATCTTTATTTTTAAACAGGTGGATATTAACAAGGAATTACAAAGCCCTCAGCAAAGGTTCCAAGGGCAGTACCTCAGGCTTTTTGAATATTATGATGGAGCTAAAGAAATGTTGTAACCATTGCTACCTCATTAAACCACCAGATAATAATGAATTCTATAATAAACAGGAGGCCTTACAAGTAAGAATTTTAAAATTTTATTACTTCCTGGTAAAGCAAAATTCTAAAAATGTTTATTTCAGTTTTAAGTGAAAATAGCACAATGCTTTCAATATATTGGTTAGATGTTCTTTTTGGTTAATGGTACATTTAAATAATGGTGCTGTTTACTTTTTAGTGTTTATAAAAATATTTTAAAGTTATAATTTATCCATTTAGTCATTTTGATTTTTTTTTTTTAAAAGCCGATGTAACTGTGGTCTGTCACACTTTATCCAGCAAAAACCCCTTGGTGTATTTTTCATTGTGAGGAAAATTTTACTAATAGTGATTGTGCTGAATTTGTGACATGGCAAATGGTAGTCTTAAGAAGGGCATCTGAACCTTAGATCTTTCTCTTCCTATCACTTCTGGAAGACAAACGAAGAGTGTGAGGAAGGCACAGTTGTCATCCAGCTGTGGTATTGCTTTGAAGTGCTGTCAGTGACCGATGCCTATAAATTAGAAGACATTTCTCACTCTTTGAGAACCTTTGATGACTTGTTTCTTCTTTCAGTGTATTAGTTGTCACTTAGTTGTTTCAGCTAAGATTTTTGGAGAAATGGTGTGATATCTAACAAATAGAGTGAAAACAGTGCCTTTTTTTTGGTCTCCAGAAAATGCAGCAAATCCTAGGTGCTAAATGGCAAGGAAAATTTAGCCTAAGTAGTAGAACAAATTGATCAAGGTTCTAAAAAATTTCGAAAATGTAAATAAACTGTTTCAACATTATGAAAGTTAAAAATCTTAATTTAAAATGAAGAAACTGGTCTTGTGAGACATTTGTTTCATTTGATACAGTTCTTTTAATTTGTTATAACAATTGTAATTTATTGTTTCCTTATAGCACTTAATCCGTAGTAGCGGAAAACTAATTCTTCTTGACAAACTGTTAATTCGCCTAAGAGAGCGAGGCAATAGAGTTCTTATTTTTTCTCAAATGGTGCGGATGTTAGATATACTTGCAGAATATTTGAAGTATCGTCAGTTCCCCTTTCAAGTAAGCATTTCATTTTGTCTTTTTTTGTTGATTTAAGTTTTGTCTAATCACTGGGTATGTTTAAAATTCTTTTGTAAATGAAGAGTAGATTTTATATAACCCATACTTTTTTTAAGAAAATAGATCTGTTTAAAAATTTTTGTCATTATTCCTTTTCTTTTTCCTCTTGACTTTACATTTAACAGCAAAGCAGTTTTTCTTTGTGTTTCTCTTAAATGTTCAAATTAAAGGGGCAGCCTTATGTATTAGGCTTTAGTCTGAGGAAGGATAGGAGCGGGCAGTACTTCTGGTGTTACCTGAACTGTTGCAGATTCTGAAGATTGTATGCTCATAGCTATTCTAATGCATAGTTTGCTGAATAAAAATACATGACTTTAGAGAATATACCAGAGAGCAAAAAGGGCTTCTATTCCATCTCTTCAATATTTATTTTGAAGTTAATTCAATATAATTACAGCTAATATGAATGTTTGGGCTTCCCTGGTGGCTCAGTGGTAAAGAATCCTCCTGTCAGTGCAGGAGATGCTGATTCAATCCCTGGGTTGGGAAGATCCCCTGGAGAAGGAAATGGCAAACCACTTCAGTATTCTTGCTGGGGAAATCCCGTGGACAGAGGAAACTGGCAGGCTACAGTCCTTGGGGTCGCAAAGAGTTGCCCACAACTGACTAAACAACAAATATGAATGTTTAATAGAGTCAGTCTTAGTACTTTACATCTGATTTATTTAATCCTTAGAGCAATTTTATGAATAATACCTGGAATATAGCAACTAGCATATGTAGCTAATAAATGACGTGTATTTAGTGCAGACAGTAAAGTAGAAGTAGAATTAGAATGATGAACCTCAACACACATAATCCCTGCTCTACTGGAGCTGACAGTCCCATGTGGGAGACAGACGTTAAGCAGGCAATGACAAATAAATGTAATGTTATGACTCTGGTAAGTGCTATGAAGAACAGATGTTGGGTGATATCAACATGATTGAGATACATCTAGTCATTTAGGAGGAAAAGTAAAAAGAATGAAAGGTTTTACTAGTTCTAATTTTTATGAAAAACAAACTTGGCACTTTAAAACAGCTTTTGATTTTGGACTTCTCTTGTTTAGCTGATGTTTAGTAAACGCTCAGCGTAGGACATGGCAGGCACTGTGCACGGTGTTTTACTGTGTCCTCGCACTGCATGGAGGGAGTAGTGCCTCCTATGTTCATTTACTGAGGGGGAGACTGACAGGAAAGAGGCAGACTACTCGCTCACGGCGCCGGTGAATAGCAAAGGTGCTCAGATGTTTAAAACTGTGGGCTCTAACCCATTAATGGATCTGAGGATCAGTTTAATGGGTTGTTTAAATGTTGTACTAGCATTTTTAAAAAATAAAATAGATAATAAAATAATAAGGGTATATCACAGTACACTGTGTCATGAAACTTGCTTTGAGTGTATACTGTGTACTCATTGACATGTAAAACATATTCTTTATAGTGGGTCTCAAGTAAAATGATGATCAGTGCTATTATTTACTATTAGCAAAAGTAGTTCTGATGGTTAAGAACACAGACGTTGGAGACAGAATGCTTAGTCATTGCTTTCCTACCTGTAAGTACCTCCTGGTCTTATCAAAAGCAGTGCTGCTTTTTCATACTTGGTTTTAATTCCTTTTAAAAGTTTTGATTCTGTTACAATGCAGTATTTTAATGTTTTATTCCAGAGATTAGATGGATCAATCAAAGGGGAGCTGAGGAAACAAGCTCTGGATCATTTTAATGCTGAAGGATCAGAGGTAAGAATGCTTTTAAAATTGTAAATAAATTGTTTCAGTCATTATTTTAGTCATAGTTGTAGTTTTTTAAGAAAAGTGTTATTGGTGGTAGCCAGTTTTGATTTACAAGTGAGGTTTTAAAATCCATATTATCTGTTAAACATGAGGAATTCTACCTTTTTGTATCAATACTATTTCAATATAGGACAGTTAATTTGCATCTAAATAAACTAGCCCATTTTGATTTAGAATTCTTTATGAATTGTTGTTTATTATTCCCATATATATTTGTATTTGGGAGTCTTGGTTTTTGGTTTTGCTAGCAGCAGCAGATACATTAGTAATTTTAAAGCTGTGTTTCACTTTTATTGGTAAAACAGCTTTTTAAAAAATGCTGGGCCTTCATTGCTCCACATGGGCTTTCTTCAGTTGCGGGAAGCACGGGCCGCTCTCGCGTTGCAGCTCACAGGCTTCTCCTTGCAGTGGTTTTCCTTGTTGCGGAACGGGGGCTCCAGGCGCCCAGGGCTCAGTAGCTCCCGCACAGGAGCTCGGGAGTTGTGGCTCACAGGCTCCAGAGCACCGGCTCAGTGGGTGTGGTGCATGGGATTAGTGGTCCCACAGCATGAGGGGTCTTCCCACTCCAGGGATCCAACCCATGTCTCCTGCATTGGCAGGATTTTTTTACTACTGAGTCAACAGGGGAGCCTGGTAAAATACTTTTTAAATGCAAGAATTCAGTTATAATATTCTCACATTGATTATTCACAATCACAGTTAAGAATTTAAAATTGTGCCTTTATATTTCCTTACAGGATTTCTGCTTTTTGCTTTCCACAAGAGCTGGAGGTTTAGGAATTAACTTAGCCTCAGCTGACACTGTTGTCATATTTGATTCTGATTGGAATCCACAAAATGATCTTCAGGCACAGGCTAGAGCTCATCGAATTGGGCAAAAGAAACAGGTATTTTTTATCCTCCTTATTTTACTGTTTTGGAGTCTTTTTTATCATCAGTGTTTAGAATTTATTTTGGTTTATCCTTCGGGTAAGATTGTTGAAACAGGCATATTGTTATTGAACAGATAGAGTGCTGAGGAGGTTGAATTTATCAGAATCACCTGGAAATTGAGAGAACTGAGAAAGCTATGCCTGAATAGGATCATATACTCTTTTTTTTGATCATAATTCTGTTCACAACTGTAGACTATAATCTACTGTAGAATATAATGTTTTTCATTCAGTATATAAAAATATACATTTAAAAATATCTTCATATACTTATTTTAACTATTGAAAGGGATTTTGCATCATACATTGTTCCTTTTTTGTTAGTCATGTACCCATAAGATTCTCTTTGCAAAATAGCCATTCTCATAATTTTTGTATAACTCTCCGGAACAGTTGTAATAGCCCTTGAAAAAAACCATCTGTCATCTTTTTGATATCTTGGTTCTTGTATTTTAATTACATTTACCCTCATCTGGGATAGTGTCCTGAAACTTCTTCAAAGCAGGAGGTGATACACAAGCAGCACAAAGGGGTTTAGAACATTTTATTTACTTTTTAAACATTCATATTTTCTACTGAGAACTAAATCCATAATATAAAACTAAAACAATGTTTTACCCAAATAATTCTCATAAAAGAGAGGGAAACTTGAAACAAAGATGACAACAAGCCAAAACAAATTACAGACTGTCAAAAAACGAGAACGTGAGGAAATAGGATATTCTTACAGGTGAGCTGGGCCTAATGTATTTGTGAAGAGATAACATATTTCTGTGTTATGAATGAAATGGGGGAAAGTGTTAATTGCACTGATAGATACCTCCTAAGTTGAAGTCCTCAACACATGGCTAGACAAAACATTCCGCTTACACTACTTAAAGACTTTGGCTACCACATCCTCTAATATAGGGTAGAAGAATGAGGACAGATTAGGAAAAGAATCAATAAGAGAAAATACTATAGAAAGCTGTGTGGTAGACCTCTGGGAGGAATACCTGAATAAGATCACAAAATAATGCAATCAACTTTCTTATCATTGTGTTAAAATTTTTTTAATGTAAGTATATGTATGAAGTATATTTTCATTATTAATGAGGTAGATTCTTTTATTATTTCATTATTGATGACATGTAAGATTCCTATGGTTCATGTACTTGCTATTTTAGTAGTAGTTGGTTCTAAATCTGATCAAAGGAGTCTAAGATCTCCTTTTAAACACGTTCATGCAGCAACTACACAGTGAGTAGTTGTAGGTTACTAGTGCAGATTTGTTTTATTGGTGACCTAATACTGTGCACATTTGGAAATAACTTTTGATAAAGATCTAAATAATACAGTATTCAGTTACCTACAGATTTACACAGTAGTTGCATTACTGAAAAAATTAATGTGTACTGTAACTTTGTAAGAAAGCTTCATGTTTATATTAAAATATATATCATTTAGACTCAGTTCAGTCGCGTCCAACTCTTTGCGACCCCATGGACTGCAGCACGCAGTCCCCTTACCCTGTCCCATTACCAACTCCTGGAGTTTACTCAGAACTCATGTCCATTGAGTCAATGATTCCATCCAACCATCTCCTGCACTGGCGAGCAGGTTCTTTACCACTGGGGCCACCTGGGAAGCCCCTCATCCAGCCATCTCATCCTCTGTCGTCCCCTTCTCTTCCCACGTTCAATGTTTCCCAGCATCAGGGTCTTTTCTAATGAGTCAGTTCTTCACATCAAGTGGAGTTTCAACTTCAACATCAGTCCTTCCAATGAATTTTCAGGATTGATTTCCTTTAGGATGGACTGGTTGGATCTCCTTGCTGTCCAAGGGACTCTCAAGAGTCTTCTCCAACACCACAGTTCAAAAACATCAATTGTTCAGTGATCAGTTTTCTTTATAGTCCAACTCTCACATCCATACACGACCACTGGAAAAACCATAGCTTTGACTAGATGGACCTTTGTCGGCAAAGTAATGTGTCTCTCTGCTTTTTAATATGCTGTCTAGGTTAATCATAACTTTCCTTCCAAGGAGTGAGCGTCTTTTAATTTCATGGCTGCAGTCACCATCTGCAGTGACTTTGGAGCCCAAAAAATAAAGTCTGACACTGTTTCCCCATCTATTTACCATGAAGTGTTGGGGCTAGATGCCAAGATCTTAGTTTTCTGAATGTTGACTTTTAAGCCAACTTTTTCACTCTCCTCTTCCACTTTCATCAAGAAGCTCTTTAGTTCTTCATGTTCTGCATTAAGGCTGGTGTCATCTGCATATCTGAGGATATTGATATTTCTCCCAGCAGTCTTGATTCCAGCTTGTGCTTCTTCTAGCCCAGCATTTCTCATGATGTACTCTGCATATAAGTTAAATAAGCAGGGTGACAATATACAGCCTTGACGTACTCCTTTCCCTATCTGGAACTATTTAGACTCAAGATAAATTTAAAACAGTTTAAAAAAATCATTTGAAAGACTTAAAGGGCACAGAATAATTTTTCATTGTGCCAGAATGTCCAGTTTAATGAAGAATATATAATATTCCAGGTCCCAGTGCTCTAAATGCTGGTGAGCCCTAGTCACTGTGAAAACTAACAGTGGTTCCATAAATTTTCAAGATACCCTGAATGGTGATATTGTGTGATATAGAACCACTGACTTTGAGAAGCAAAGCAAAATCACTACACATTGAGTTTTGTCTTTTGCAGAGCTTTTTGTTGTTAATTGCAGAGCTTCATCATTAACTTGAAAAGTGACTTGTGGAATTTTGGATCATATAGAATGATGAAACAATCAAAATTAAGGGAACTGGTATAAGCTTGTCCTAAGTTTACCACCACCCCCTTCCCCAGCTGAAATATAATTTAAAAAATTACTGTCATTCCTTCAAAAAAAGAAAAAGCAAACTGACCAAAATATAAGGAAGGACATAGTCTCAAATAATCTTTAACCTGAGGAAGCTTTTTTGCTTATGACCAGTGATAATGTCACGTTGGCTGAATTTCAGACTCTGTAACCAGTATTTGGGCATTTAACATTAGCAGAACAAATCCTTATTACTGTACTTTAAGTTTCATCGTGTGTATCTTTACAGGTGAATATTTATCGTCTGGTTACAAAGGGATCAGTTGAAGAGGATATTCTTGAAAGGGCCAAAAAGAAGATGGTTTTAGATCATCTTGTGATTCAAAGAATGGACACAACTGGGAAGACAGTACTACACACAGGTTCTGCCCCTTCAAGGTAGTTACTTTCCTTTAAAAAAAAAAAAGCTGTTACATAATCATACTATGCTCATTTTTTCCCAAAATGTTACATAGTGTAACCAGATCACTGAAGTACTGTGTTCGGTGGTGTTTTATTTTTCAAAGCACTGAGCTAATTCCCGGTCAATGGCATACATCCAGTGAGTGCATGGTTTCACCATTCTAGTTTTGTAATCGTGGGGGAAAGCCCTAGGCTTCAAGTTCTTTAGTTTTAAGTGTACTAGTAACCTTTCACTTACCTAACTATGTCACATTAACTGTTATAAAGGTGACTATGCCAATAACTCATGAAAGTGCTATATAAGTGTTAAATTTGTGACTGTTAGTGTTTTTTTTTTTCTTTCTTTTTATTTATTTATTTATTTATTTATTATTATTTTTTTTTAATCACAACCATAGTGTATCTTTTTTTTTTTTTTTTACATGTATTCCCCATCCCGGTCCCCCCTCCCACCTCCCTCTCCACCCAATCCCTCTGGGTCTTCCCAGTGCACCAGGCCCGAGCACTTGTCTCATGCACCCAACCTGGGCTGGTGAACTGTTTCACCCTAGATAATATACGTGTTTCAATGCTGTTCTCTTGAAACATCCTACCCTCGCCTTCTCCCAGAGTCCACAAGTCTGTTCTATACATAGGAGTCTCTTTTTCTGTTTTGCACATAGGGTTATCGTTACCATCTTTCTAAATTCCATATATATGTGTTAGTATACTGTAATGGTCTTTATCTTTCTGGCTTACTTCGCTCTGTATAATGGGCTCCAGTTTCATCCATCTCATTAGAACTGATTCAAATGAATTCTTTTTAATGGCTGAGTAATATTCCATGGTGTATATGTACCACAGCTTCCTCATCCATTCGTCTGCTGATGGGCATCTAGGTTGCTTCCATGTCCTGGCTATTATAAACAGTGCTGCGATGAACATTGGGGTACACGTGTCTCTTTCAGATCTGGTTTCCTCGGTGTGTATGCCCAGAAGTGGGATTGCTGGGTCATATGGCAGTTCTATTTCCAGCTTTTTAAGAAATCTCCACACTGTTTTCCATAGTGGCTGTACTAATTTGCATTCCCACCAACAGTGTAAGAGGGTTCCCTTTTCTCCACACCCTGTCCAGCATTTATTGCTTGTAGACTTTTGGATAGCAGCCATCCTGACTGGTGTGTAATGGTACCTCATTGTGGTTTTGATTTGCATTTCTCTGATAATGAGTGATGTTGAGCATCTTTTCATGTGTTTGTTAGCCATCTGTATGTCTTCCTTGGAGAAATGTCTGTTCAGTTCTTTGGCCCATTTTTTGATTGGGTCATTTATTTTTCTGGAGTTGAGCTGGAGGAGTTGCTTGTATATTTTTGAGATTAATCCTTTGTCTGTTGCTTCGTTTGCTATTATTTTCTCCCAATCTGAGGGCTGTCTTTTCACCTTGCTTATAGTTTCCTTTCTTGTGCAAAAGCTTTTAAATTTCATTAGGTCCCATTTGTTTATTTTTGCTTTTATTTCTAAAATTCTGGGATGTGGGTCATAGAGGATCCTGCTGTGATTTATGTCGGAGAGTGTTTTGCCTATGTTCTCCTCTAGGAGTTTTATAGTTTCTGGTCTTACATTTAGATCTTTAATCCATCTTGAGTTTATTTTTGTGTATGGTGTTAGAAAGTGTTCTAGTTTCATTCTTTTACAGGTGGTTGACCAGTTTTCCCAGCACCACTTGTTAAAGAGGTTGTCTTTTTTCCATTGTATATCCTTGCCTCCTTTGTCAAAGATAAGGTGACCATAGGTTCGTGGATTTATCTCTGGGCTTTCTATTCTGTTCCATTGATCTATATTTCTGTCTTTGTGCCAGTACCATACTGTCTTGATGACTGTGGCTTTGTAGTATAGTCTGAAGTCAGGCAGATTGATTCCTCCAGTTCCATTCTTCTTTCTCAGGATTACTTTGGCTATTCGAGGTTTTTTGTATTTCCATACAAATTGTGAAATTATTTGTTCTAGTTCTGTGAAAAATACCGTTGGTAGTTTGATAGGGATTGCATTGAATCTGTAGATTGCTTTGGGTAGTATAGCCATTTTGACAATATTGATTCTTCCAATCCATGAACACGGTATATTTCTCCATCTGTTTGTGTCCTCTTTGATTTCTTTCATCAGTGTTTTATAGTTTTCTATGTATAGGTCTTTTGTTTCTTTAGGTAGATATACTCCTAAGTATTTTATTCTTTTTGTTGCAATGGTGAATGGTATTGTTTCCTTAATTTCTCTTTCTGTTTTCTCATTGTTAGTGTATAGGAATGCAGGAGATTTCTGTGTGTTAATTTTATATCCTGCAACTTTACTGTATTCGTTGATTATCTCTAGTAATTTTCTGGTAGAGTCTTTAGGATTTTCTATGTAGAGGATCATGTCATCTGCAAACAGCGAGAGTTTCACTTCTTCTTTTCCTATCTGGATTCCTTTTACTTCTTTTTCTGCTCTGATTGCTGTGGCCAAAACTTCCAAAACTATGTTGAATAGGAGTGGTGAGGGTGGGCACCCTTGTCTTGTTCCTGATTTCAGGGGAAATGCTTTCAGTTTTTCACCATTGAGGGTGATGCTTGCTGTGGGTTTGTCATATATAGCTTTTATTATGTTGAGGTATGTTCCTTCTATTCCTGCTTTCTGGAGAGTTTTAATCATAAATGGATGTTGAATTTTATCAAAGGCTTTTTCTGCATCTATTGAGATAATCATATGGTTTTTATCTTTCAATTTGTTAATGTGGTGTATTACATTGATTGATTTGTGGATATTAAAGAATCCTTGCATTCCTGGGATAAAGCCCACTTGGTCATGGTGTATGATTTTTTTAATATGTTGTTGGATTCTGTTTGCTAGAATTTTGTTAAGGATTTTTGCATCTATGTTCATCAGTGATACTGGCCTGTAGTTTTCTTTTTTTGTGGCATCTTTGTCTGGTTTTGGAATTAGGGTGATGGTGGCCTCATAGAATGAGTTTGGAAGTTTCCCTTCTTCTGCAATTTTCTGGAAGAGTTTGAGTAAGATAGGTGTTAGCTCTTCTCTAAATTTTTGGTAGAATTCAGCTGTGAAGCCATCTGGTCCTGGGCTTTTGTTTGCTGGAAGATTTCTGATTACAGTTTCGATTTCCTTGCTTGTGATGGGTTTGTTAAGATCTTCTATTTCTTCCTGGTTCAGTTTTGGAAAGTTATACTTCTCTAAGAACTTGTCCATTTCTTCCAAGTTGTCCATTTTATTGGCATAGAGCTGCTGGTAGTAGTCTCTTATGATCCTTTGTATTTCAGTGTTGTCTGTTGTGATCTCTCCATTTTCGTTTCTAATTTTGTTTATTTGGTTCTTCTCCCTTTGTTTCTTAATGAGTCTTGCTAATGGTTTGTCAATTTTGTTTATTTTTTCAAAAAACCAGCTTTTAGCTTTGTTAATTTTTGCTATGATCTCTTTAGTTTCTTTTGCATTTATTTCTGCCCTGATTTTTAAGATTTCTTTCCTTCTACTAACCCTGGGGTTCTTCATTTCTTCCTCCTCTAGTTGCTTTAGGTGTAGAGTTAGGTTATTTATTTGACTTTTTTCTTGTTTCTTGAGGTAGGCCTGTAATGCTATGAATCTTCCCCTTAGCACTGCCTTTACAGTGTCCCATAGGTTTTGGGTTGTTGTGTTTTCATTTTCATTCATTTCTATGCATATTTTGATTTCTTTTTTGATTTCTTCTATGATTTGTTGGTTATTCAGAAGCGTGTTGTTTAGCCTCCATATGTTTGAATTTTTAATAATTTTTTTCCTGTAATTAAGATCTAATCTTACTGCACTGTGGTCAGAAAAGATGACTGGAATGATTTCAATCTTTTTGAATTTACCAAGACTAGATTTATGGCCCAGGATGTGATCTATTCTGGAGAAGGTTCCGTGTGCACTTGAGAAAAAGGTGAAGTTGATTGTTTTGGGGTGAAACGTCCTATAGATGTCAATTAGGTCTAGCTGGTCCATTGTGTCCTTTAAAGTTTGTGTTTCCTTGTTCATTTTCTGTTTAGTTGATCTATCCACAGTTGTGAGTGGGGTATTAAAGTCTCCTACTATTATTGTGTTACTATTAATTTCCTCTTTCATACTCGTTAGCGTTTGCCTTACATATTGCGGTGCTCCTATGTTGGGTGCATATATATTTATAATTGTTATATCTTCTTCTTGGATTGATCCTTTGATCATTATGTAGTGTCCATCTTTGTCTCTTTTCACAGTCTTTATTTGAAAGTCTATTTTATCTGATATGAGTATTGCGACTCCTGCTTTCTTTTGGTCTCCGTTTGCGTGGAATATTTTTTTCCAGCCCTTCACTTTTAGTCTGTATGTGTCCCTTGCTTTGAGGTGGGTCTCTTGTAGACAGCATATATAGGGGTCTTGCTTTTTTATCCATTCAGCCAGCCTTTGTCTTTTGGTTGGGGCATTCAACCCATTTACATTTAAGGTAATTATTGATAGGTATGGTCCCGTTGCCATTTATTTTGTTGTTTGGGGTTCACGTTTATACCACCTTTCTGTGTTTCCTGTCTAGAGAAGATCCTTTAATATTTGTTGAAGAGCTGGTTTGGTGGTGCTGAATTCTCTCAGCTTTTGCTTGTCTGTAAAGCTTTTGAGTTCTCCTTCATATCTGAATGAGATCCTTGCTGGGTAGAGTAATCTAGGTTGTAGGTTATTCTCTTTCATTACTTTAAGTATGTCCTGCCATTCCCTTCTGGCCTGAAGGGTTTCTATTGATAGATCAGCTGTTATCCTTATGGGAATCCCTTTGTGTGTTATTTGTTGTTTCTCCCTTGCTGCTTTTAATATTTGTTCTTTGTGTTTGATCTTTGTTAATTTGATTAATATGTGTCTTGGGGTGTTTCGCCTTGGGTTTATCCTGTTTGGGACTCTCTGGGTTTCTTGGACTTGGGTGGCTATTTCCTTCCCCATTTTAGGGAAGTTTTCAGCTATTATCTCCTCGAGTATCTTCTCATGGCCTTTCTTTTTGTCTTCTTCTTCTGGGACTCCTATGATTCGAATGTTGGGGCGTTTCACATTGTCCCAGAGGTCCCTGAGGTTGTCCTCATTTCTTTTGATTCTTTTTTCTTTTTTCCTCTCTGCTTCATTTATTTCCACCATTTTATCTTCTAACTCACTTATCTTATCTTCTGTCTCTGTTATTCTACTCATGGTTCCCTCCAGAGTGTTTTTGATCTCATTTATTTCATTATTAATTTTTAACTGACTTTTTTTTATTTCTTCTAGGTCCTTATTAAACATTTCTTGCATCTTCTCAATCTTTATCTCCAGGCTATTTATTTGTAACTCCATTTTGTTTTCAAGATTTTGGATCATTTTTATTATCATTATTCTAAATTCTTTTTCTGGTAGATTCCCTATTTCCTCCTCTTTTGTTTGACGTGGTGGGCTTTTTTCATGTTCCTTTAGCTGTTGGGTATTTCTCTGCCTTTTCATCTTGTTTAGATTGCTGTGTCTGGAGTGGGCTTTCTGTATTCTTGTGGTCTGAGGTTCCTTTTTATTGTGGAGGTTTCACCCAGTGGGTGGGGTTGGACGATTGGTTTGTGAAGGTTTCCTGGTTAGGGAAGCTTGTGTCAGCGTTCTGGTGCGTGGAATTGGATTTCTTCTCTCTGGAGTGCAATGGAGTGTCCAGTAATGAGTTTTGCGATGGATCTATGTGTTAGGTGTGACTTTGGAGAGCCTGTATGTTGACACTCAGGTCTATGTTTCTGCGTTGCTAAAGAATTTGCGTGGTATGTCTTGTACTGGAGCTTATTGGCTCTTGGGTGGTGGTTGGTTTTGGTGTAGGTATGGAAGCTTTTGGATGGTCTCTTATTCCTTAATGTTCCGTGTAGTCAGGAGTTTTCTGGTTTTCTCAAGATTTGGGTTTAAGTCTCCTGCCTCTGGATTTCAGTTTTGTTCTTCCAATAGTCTCAAGACTTCTCCAACTATCCAGCACTGATAATAAAACTTCTAGGTTAATGGTGAAAAGATTCTCCACCGTGAGAGACAACCAGAGAGGTTCACAGAGTTACATGAAGAATAGGAGAGGGAGGAAGGAGATAGAGGTGATCAGGAGGAGAAAAAGGGGACTCAAGAGGAGAGAGACAGATCTACGCAGTTATCTGTTCCCAAAGTGTTCTCCGTAGCCCAGACACCCACAAAGATTCACAGAGTTGGATTGGGAAGAGAAGGGGAAAGGAGGAAATAGAGGTGTTCCGAGGTAGAAAACAGAGAGTCAAAAGTGGGAGAGTAATCACCACACTCCTGAATAGAAATGGGAACTGAATATTGGATTCTTAAATGACCAAAATTTATATCACATACTACTGAAAAACAAAGATTAAAAATCTAGTGTAGAGGTTAGACTCTTTGAAATACAATATTTAAAAACAAAAACACACAAAAAAATTTAGAAATGTATATGAAGTTTGATTTAAAAATAGGGTTTTTCTCTCTTTTTTTTTGGCAAGGTTATAGTGAAATGAAAATGAAAATTAAGGAATAATAGAGGAGTATTAGAGGACTTTAAAAGGAAATAGGAGAGAAAAACAAGAAAAAGAAAAAAAAAAGAAAAAAAAATTTTTTTTTCCCTAATTAAAAAAATCGTAAAAATATATGAAAATGAAAGTTGAGGAGTAATGGGGGAGTAATAGGGAATTTTAAAAGAAAATAAAAGAGAAAAAATTAAAAAAAATAAAAAAAAAAGGAAAAAAAAATTTTTTTTTAATTAAAAAAAAAAAAATATATATATATATATATATCTAGGAATTTCTCTGGAGTTGTTGCAGTCAGCGTAGGTTCAGTTCAATTTCAGATAGCTCCTCTTTCCAGGTTACGCTTCTCGATATCTGTAGGCCCCTTCTGGTGTAGTTGGTGTTACCTTCAGGGATTTTAATCTGTTGCACCGGTCCTTTCTGAAGCGGTTCCCTTTGTTTATTTGGCTTCTGTTTGCCATCTCTTTGGTGTCTAATTTCCGCCCTGACACAGGCGGGTGGAGGTGATCTCTTATTCAGGTTCTCTAGTTCAGTTCAGTCCTGCTACGGGGAGGGCGGGGCGCTGCAGACAGACACTGCTCTGTGTGGATAGCACTCACCGTGTTCAGGCCACACTGGGTTTGCCCCGCTCACGGGTGTCAGTGCTTTCCCCGTCTACACTGCTCAGGCTCCCGGCTGCTCTCTATGGAGCGGGCCCTGCGTTGAGTGCGGTTCCAGTTTTCGGGTACTCCACAAAAGCGCAGATTCGGTTGCGCCTGCGTTTTGTGCCTTCCCCGGCCTGAGCGGCTCAGGCAGCCAGAGGCTTGGGCGCACTCTCCCCGGATGTGGCGCGCCCTTTCCCTCCGCGGCGGGCAGCTCAGGCAGCCAGAGGCTTGGGCGCACTCTCCCCGGACGTGGCGCTCCTTTTCCCTCCGCGGCGGGCGGGCAGCTTAGGCAGCCAGAGGCTTGGGCGCACTCTCCCCGGACGTGGCGCGCCTTTTCCCTCCGTGTCGAGCGGCTCAGGCAGCCAGAGGCTTGGGCGCAATCTTCCCGGGTACGGCGCGCTTTTTCCCTCCGCGGCCCCAGCGCGCGTCGCCAGTCGGGTCACAGGAAGTCTTTAGATAGGAACTGGGGGCCTGTTTGCAGTGTGGGAGGGGGTGGCTTCTCAGGGGCTGAGTTTGCCCTTTTCCCCTACCCCCTGCCTCCAACCTCCAGAGGGGATGGGCCGGCTCTTCTCTGGACTTTCTCAGTCCCTTTGTTTTGCGAACCGCTGGCAGTGTGTTCGGGCCCTAAGCAATGCCGCCTGCTCCTCTCCGTCCCACCCCCGCTTGTTGCTGGCGGGTACGGGCGTCTGGAGTACTTTTCTCCTGGGAGTTGCTTTTAGGCACGTAATCTGTGGGCCTTGTTTAATTTTTCCTCCCAGTTAGATTGCTGAAAACTTCCCCCAGTCCCGCCAGTGCGAGGGTTTCCTGGTGATTGGAAACTTCCTCTATTAAGACTCCCTTCCCGGGACGGGTCTCCGTCCGTAGCTCTTTTGACTCCCTTTTTATCTTTTATATTTTGTCCTACCTCCCTTCGAAGACAATGGGCTGCTTTTCTGGGCGCCTGATGTCCTCTGCTAGCGATCAGAAGTTGTTTTGTGCAATTTGCTCAGCATTCAAATGTTCTTTCGATGAATTTGTAGGAGAGAAAGTGGTCTCCCCGTCCTATTCCTCCGCCATCTTGGCTCCTTCCCGACTGTTAGTGTTAAGTAATTTTTGTTTTTCCTAATTTTAGTTCTACTCCTTTCAATAAAGAAGAGTTATCAGCCATTTTAAAGTTTGGTGCTGAGGAACTTTTTAAGGAGCCTGAAGGAGAAGAACAAGAGCCCCAGGTAAAGAAAAAAAAAAAACTTGTCTCAAAATGTCATTTTTAAAACTATAAATGTAAAACGTATATACCTTAAAACATAATAAAGCATATTTAAAGTAAAGATTTCTTTTTCTAGGAAATGGATATAGATGAAATCTTGAAGAGGGCTGAAACTCATGAAAATGAAGCAGGACCTTTAACTGTAGGAGATGAATTACTTTCTCAGTTCAAGGTAGATTTTCTTTTTAAATTTTTTTTCATAATTATATAAATGGCGAAGGTGGGGTTTTTCTTTTGTCACTTAGTGTTTTATTCATCTTTTTTTTAGGTGGGATCAGCAGGGTAATCTTAAAAAATCTTAACATCTTTGTCTTAAAATCTGCAATGATATATAAAAATTTTTCTTTCTTCTAGTGACATGATTTGAAATGTACCAGATCATTTTCATAACTGAAGACTTTTAGCTGATTTTTATTGCAGCGGTTTTTGACATTAGATTAATTTAAGCATTATCCTAACTAAGAAAACACAAGTAAATCAGACAAAGTAAGCAGTAATATTGATAGATACCCCTGGGTTAGGTGGTTTAGTTGCCAACTCATATCTGACTCTTGCAACACCATGGACTGTAGCCTGCCAGGCTCCTCTGTCTATGGATTCTACTGGCAAGAAGACTGGAGTGGGTATTCATTCCATCCCTTCTTCAGGGGATCTTCCCGACCCAGGGATCAAACATGGGTCTCCTGCATTGCGGACAGCTTCTTTACCAACTGAGCCCCCAGTAAAGCGCATCCCAGGTTAGGTGAGGGCCAACAAGATTGCAGGGAGTCCTGAAGCAACATAAGTCAGCCGTCCTTAGAGTAAGGTGTGCACCAGATGTTTAGTGTAAAGAAGCAGATTTCTCTACATCCTAGCCATTTTCCACAAGCTGAGGTGTTTAAGGATCAATTCATATTGTTCCTTTATTCAGCAAATACTTACTGAGTACCTGCAATGTGCCACACACACAGAGCAATTACCTGTTATCTTTAATGTACCTGTTTTGGCAGTTAACCTTAAAGAGTGTTTTCTGTATACCAAACTCTGCACACTTCTCTAAATGTATTGTTATTTAATTCTCACAAAAATTGGTGTGCTGTTACTAGCTCTCCTTTTTTAGAGATGAAGAAACTAGTGCTTCGGGAACCTAAATAAATTTATCCATGGTCTCAGAGCTCCTTGTGTCTTGTCATCAGCTCTTCAAGTACTTTTTTTATGATCGTAAAAATAAGAATATTGGGTTGTTTTGCAACAGTTTGTGGTTAATGAGCTGGTATGGTTGTTACTACAGAAAGTGATTTAGCATGATACTTTATAAATTTGTTGTTACTCTGTTAACTTCATCTAGTTCTATATAGTAATAATTTTGTTGATCAGCAGGGCAAAAGAGAATCATTCCTGGAAGATAGTTCTTAGAAGTCATTTGGTTTGATCTACTCTGACCGCATAAAGAAATAAACTTAGTAACCAAAAAAAAAAAGAAAGAAATAAACTTAGTTTAGCAATCATATTTGGTTTAACCCATAGTCATATTCATTATCCTAGGACTATTTTTTTTTTATCCTAGGACTATTTAAGTTATCTTATTCTGATATGCTTCGTCCTTCCTGCTAAGAAAGAAAAAATGTAATTTAAGAATGAATTGTTCTTTAATTTTATTCTGCTAAAATTCTGGAATTTATCAGGTTGCCAACTTTTCAAATATGGATGAGGATGATATTGAGCTGGAGCCTGAAAGAAATTCAAAGAACTGGGAAGAAATCATTCCTGAAGAGCAAAGAAGACGATTAGAAGAAGAAGAAAGACAAAAGGAACTTGAAGAAATTTATATGCTCCCCAGAATGAGAAACTGTGCAAAACAGGTGACTTTTTAATTTAAAAGCTGTTTCTGTATTATAAAGAGTATTTACACCTGGACTATCTTTTTTATGAGAAATATTGGTGCTTCTTTTCTTCTAAAGACTTCATCGGATTTAATAATGCTTGTCTCATAAAATGAGTTGGAAAGTGTTCCTTCTTAACTATAACCTAAATTTTATAAATATACAACTATCAATATATTTTTTGAATGAGTATAGTTGGTTGTTTCAAGAAATTTGTTCATTTTATCCAAGTTGTTGAGTTTATGGGCATAAAGTTATTCATAATAATACCCTCTTAACTATCCTTTTGGTGTTTATAGGATATTTAGTGATTTCCCTTTTTTTTTCATTCTGTTAATGAAATTAAGACACTTACTCCTTGGAAGAAAAGTTATAACCAACCTAGACAGCATATTAAAAAGCAAAGACATTACTTTACCAACAAAGGTCCATCTAGTCAAGGCTATGGATGTGATAGTTGAACTATAAAGAAAGCTGAGTGCTGAAGAATTGGTGCTGTTGAACTGTGGTGTTGGAGAAGACTCTTGAGAGTCCCTTGGACAGCAAGGAGATCCAGCCAGTCCATCCTAAAGGAAATCAGTCCTGAATATTCATTGGAAGGACTGAGGTTGAAGTTGAAACTCCAATACTTTGGCCACTTGATGAGAAGAACTGACTCATTGGAAAAGACCCTGATGCTGGGAAAGATTGAAGGCAGGAGGAGAAGGGGACGACAGAGGATGGGATGGTTGGATGGCATCATTGTTTCGATGGATATGGGTTTGAGTAAACTCCGGGAGTTAGTGGTGGACAGGGAGGCCTGGCATGCTGCGGTCCATGGGGTCGCAAAGAGCTGGACACAAATGAGTGACTGAACTGAATTGATAGGCATTTTTTTTCTTGATCATTTTAGGTAGAGATTAATTTCATTCATCTTTCCAAAAAGCCACCTTTTGGTTTTATTTTTTAATTTTCTGTTTTAAGTTTCATTGTGTTTCATTCTGTGTGTTTTTTCTTTCTTTTTTTCTTTTGCTCTCCTTTTAAGTATCTAAAGATAAAAGCTTAGATCATGAAGACTTTCCTTTTCTAATATTAGCATTTTTTTTAAAGTCCTGCTTTTTCTGTACCTCGTGAGTTTATGTATTTATGGCTGTGCTGGGTCTTTGTTGCTGCTCGGGCTTGTCTTCCCCCCAGTTGCGGTTCGCGGGCTTCTCATTGTGGTGGCTTCTCTTGTGGACCACAGGCTCCAGGGTGCTTGGGCTTCGGGAGTTGTGCCACTTGGCCCATTGCAAGTGGAATCATCTTGGACCAGGACTTGAACCTGTGCCCCCTGCATTGGTAGACATAAACTCTGGACTACCAAGGAGTCCCAACATTAGCATTTAATGCTGCAAACTTCCATTAACCACTGCCATTTCTGAATCTCCTAAATTTTGATATTTGTTGTGATCTCATTTTCATTTATTTCAAAATACTTTCTGATATCTTTTGTGACTTCCTCTGTAACCCATAGGTTTTTTTTTTCTTTTTTTTTTAAATTTACTTTTATTAGTTGGAGGCTAATTACTTTACAATATTGTAGTGGTTTTTGCCATACATTGACATGAATCAGCCATGGATTTACATGTGTTCCCCCTCCTGATCTCCCCTCCCGCCTCCCTCCCCATCCCATCCCTCTGGGTCTTCCCAGTGCACCAGCCCTGAGCACTTGTCTATAAAACACTGATGAAAGAAATCAAAGAAGACACAAATAGATGCAGAAATATACCATGTTCATGGATTGGAAGACTCAATATTGTGAAAATGGCTATACTACCCAAAGCAATCTATAAATTCAATGCAATCCCTGTCAAGCTACCAACGGTATTTTTCACAGAACTAGAACAAATAATTTCACAATTTGTATGGAAATACAAAAAACCTCGAATAGCCAAAGCAATCTTGAGAAAGAAGAATGCAACTGGAGGAATCAACCTGCCTGACTTCAGGCTCTACTACAAAGCCACAGTCATCAAGACAGTATGGTACTGGCACAAAGACAGAAATATAGATCAGTGGAACAGAACTGAAAGCCCAGAGATAAATCCATGAACCTATGGTCACCTTATCTTTGACAAAGGAGGCAAGGATATACAATGGAAAAAAGGCAGCCTCTTTAACAAGTGGTGCTGGGAAAACTGGTCAACCACTTGTAAAAGAATGAAACTAGAACACCTAACACCATACACAAAAATAAACTCAAAATGGGTTAAAGATCTAAATGTAAGACCAGAAACTATAAAACTCCTAGAGGAGAACATAGGCAAAACACTCTCCGACATAAATCACAGCAGGATCCTCTATGATCCACCTCCCATAATATTGGAAATAAAAGCAAAAATAAACAAATGGGACCTAATTAAACTTGAAAGCTTTTGCATAGGTTTTTTAAGAAGTGTGTTGTTTCATTTTCAGATATTTGGGGGATTTTTCCAGGTATCTTCATTGTTGATTTCTAGTTTAATTCTCTTATGGTCAGAGAACATCCTTGTATGATATGAATTTTTAGAAATCCATTGGTGTTTATTTTATGGCTCAAATGAACAGAATGTTAGATTTTTAAATAATGGTAGCAGTGCCATGCCAAGCTATATTGGGTCCTGTGGCAAGAGGAAAAACTTTAGTGCCTTTGCATTAGCTTCTGCTTTTTTAGAATACTGTTTTATTTCAGGATTATGTCTTGATTGTTGAATTTTTTGTTATCTCCTTAAATTATGAGTCTGAGGCAAATGAACACACCCCAGACTGTACCCTGCCAGTTTTTGGTTTTTCTTTTCCTACAAATATATTAGGTCTGCTGTGTCCTCAGTTCTGTAGGTGAGAATGATCTGTCCAGGCTTCCTGACTGTCCCCTCAATTTGACTCTGTCTTTCTCCAGGCCTTCACCCTGAAGGAAAATTTTCTCTAATCTCGAGCCCCATTTCCAGTCTTTCTCATGAGCACCTGGTGAAAGTTGGTGGAGGTTTGTGGAGAAGTGCCTGCAAGTAGGTGCAGGTTCTCCCTGTGTTTTTTGTCCCCAGGAATCCTCTTTTCTCACAGTAGCTCAGTCTTTAGCAAGTGTTAGCTGACTTTTCTCTTACCTTCTTATATGGTACTTGATGTTTATCACTCATCCTCTTCACAAGTAAGCCAGTATTCAAGTTCTACCTCTTATAATCTGTATTTCCTTACTTTTAGCCTATTGATTGCCTTGTGATCTGATGTGTGTAATAGAAGTTAATGTTTTGTAGATTAGATTTTTTTACCTTTGCAATAAAGATGACTTTATTGGCAAGTATTCCTTTTCATTTCTGCTATCAGAAAAAATGTCTAGGAGTGATGTTGCTGGGTTAGCAGAATGACCATTTTTAAGATGTTTGATACAATATCAAATTGCCCTCTGTTGTATGAATACCCATTAGAGGTGTTTGACTATCTTGTTTTTCTTTACCAGTAGCAATATTGGCTAGTATTAATAAGTTAATATTGGTCAAGTTGATGGATTAACTAATTAATTACACTGCATTGTTACTTTAATTCACATTTTTAAAAATATACCAAGAGGTTGTATAATTCTGTTTGTTATTTGATTAATCACTGTTAATAACCTTTCACATATTTTTACAAAAGGACAATGAATATTTTCCTGCTGTTTTACTAGAATGTTCTAAGCATTAAGACTATTAATATAACTCTTGGACATTAATCTGTATTTTGGGGGGTTTTTTTGCTTTTTAATTTTGTTTATAGAATATTTTTGATATGTACTTGTTAATTTTGTCAATCATAATGCTTTCATTGCTCTTAAAACAGAAGCCTGCTTTACCTAAACTTGGGCAAAATTTTGTTTTCAAATTCCAGATTAGCTTCAATGGAAGTGAAGGGAGGCGCAGTAGAAGTAGGAGATACTCTGGATCTGATAGTGATTCAATTTCAGAAAGAAAAAGGCCAAAGAAACGTGGAAGACCACGAACTATCCCTCGGGAAAATATTAAAGGATTTAGTGATGCAGAAATTCGGCGGTAAGATGACATAAGACCATTTTTACTTCAGCTTGGTTTTAGTAGTGGGTGAAATTAAAACAAATTCCACAAAATATAAAGTTTTAGAAGAGGCAGATATAATTTTGTGGGGATTGGGTGGTTCTGATTTTGGTTGTTCATTGTAACTATGAGTCAAAAATGAGTTTGGCATCTAATCTTTGCTGTGTTATTTATTGTTACTCTATTTGGACTGCTAAATTATTTTGGTTTTATTAATGTGGTTCAGAATAGTGGTCCTTTTGAATAATGAATGTATACTTCAATACATTATTTATTAAAAATTCTCACTGTGTATGACTCCCAACATTACTGTTTATGTGGGAGTAATTTAGTTCCATATTTTTCTAGCTTTTTTATGCTGGAGTGATTGTTTTTTTGAAAATAGCCATGTTAAAAGTGTTTGATATGTCCAAATAGGAACTGAGGTAAGATTAGCCTTTCAGATAAATTGTAGTTTTATTCCAAAATGTATTTATTTATATATATATATACACAGCTTTATTTACGGAGGATGGGATAATAGCTTATTTTGTTTATGTAATATTTTTGTGTATGAAATTTGTGAAAGGTTTTTCATTGTTGTATTTTGAGAGTTTGATGTTTCTTTCATACTATTGTAACTCATTTCTTTTAAATCATAGACCTGTCTGATAAAGTTTTTCCTCATTTTTTTCTACCAGAAAACTAAATATATTGTTAGATTTTATTTAGGGTACTTTTATGGCCACCTGATTTGCTGGACTTTCTGTCTTTAGTTGAAGAGGCAATGCAACTTCTACTTTTCCTGGATATTTTCCCTCATCCATCAACCACTTGGGTAGCTTTGTTCCTAAGTAATACTTATTTTTCCACTGTTGGTAGAATGCCATATATCTGATTTAAAACTATATTCAGTAAATTTTTATCAACACTTGAAATGTGAGGAGGTGTAATATGATTGAGAATTCTGGAGACACTTCCTCTGATAGCCTTGACCCTTTTTTGTCTTGTGAAAATAATAAAGTAATTTCTAAAATAAAATTTAGCTTCTATTGTTTTATTTATATTGGTTTCTAAATATTATCCTGGGTGTTAAAATATGTCTTATCTTTATTGGTATCTAACCTTTTAACATTTTGATTCTAGCATAGATTATTCATTTTTGTTAGTAATAGTGCCTTGAATTATTGATAATATTTACACTAACAAGTATTATTTCTGTATATCTGTTTTGTAACAAATAGTAAAGCCCACATTTAAACCAATTATTTTCTGTTAGGTTTATCAAGAGCTACAAGAAATTTGGTGGCCCTCTGGAAAGGTAAAGACATTTGTCATTCTTAGTGGAATTACGGAATGTGTTGCATGCTGTCAGTTTTATTTATACTATTCTTAAATTTTCTGCAACAGGTTTTTACAAAATTAGCCTGTAGAAAGCAAATTTCAAAGAGATTTTTTAAAGTGTTTTAGTACTATCCTTAATTCTTTCTAGTCTCTAAAATTTTATCTACAAATGTTTTCTATAAAATACATGGTCTATAAAACATTTCCTTTTTTATAATTGTAAAGTACTTTTCAAATGCTTTTTCATACCTTTTCCTTACAATCTTATAAAAATAGCAGATTCATCCAGAAAGAAGCTAAATTGCTAATCTAGCCTCTGACTTCAGAGACCAATTTTATCAGTTATTCTCAATAACTGCTGTAACTACTATCTCAAGTGTAGAGTTGCAGAGACTCAAATTGGTTTAATTCTATTTTTCTCCCCCAAACTCCACCTTAAAATAGGGATATTTTCTATTTTATTTTGAGAGGACCTGTATGAAGTTACAGTGGTATACTTATATAATTATTTTAGATGAAGAAAAAAATGTTTTGAACATTTATCATTATTCATATTATCTGCTTACTGTGTAGTAATAAAAAAATTATAGAACTTTACTCTTATGTATCTTAAACGGCTTCATTTTCTCTGCATTTACCTGAAAATTGTATTATTTTATTATAGATTAGATGCAATTGCTCGAGATGCTGAATTAGTCGATAAGTCAGAGACAGACCTCAGACGACTAGGAGAATTGGTACATAATGGTTGCATTAAAGCTTTAAAGGACAACTCTTCAGGAACAGAACGAACAGGTGATATTAAAATGAAAGTGATTTAAAGAGAGATAAATGAAATTGTTGAAATCTGCTTTTATTGAATTTGGTTGATAGCATGTCTTAAGTTACCTATTTATTAATCTTAAAAGATGCTTTACAAAACAAAGTAAGGCCATTTCCAGATAATAGAAAATGGGGAACATAACTGTATTATTGAAGGCAATAGAAACTCTCTGCCTGGTATATTTTCTTGCTGAGAGGTAACATCAGAAATTGTTAGTTCTACTATATTTTTAGTATGCATGCAAAGTGACTTCAGTTGTGTCCGACTTTGCAACCCTGTGGACTGTAGCCCGCCAGGCTTCTCTGTCCATGGGATTCTCCAAGCAGTACTGGAGTGGGTTGCCATGCCCTCCTCCAGGGGATCTTCCTGACCCAGAAGTCAAACTCATGTCTCTTATGTCTCCTGCATTGGAAGGTGGGTTCTTTACTGTATTTTTAGTATAGTATAGATGAGATATTAGAAGTATACACATGTGATATTGGTTTTAACATAGTTACTTCATTATACTTTGTAATTTATCTTTCTAAATAAAAATAATTAGATAAGATTCAATAGTTAGATGTACTGAAAAAAAATCATACTGAAACTCATTTAGAATGACTGACATGTTAATCCCAGGTGGTGCAGTGGTAAAGAACCCACCTGCCAATGCAGGAGACTGAGGAGATGCAGGTTAGATTCCTGGGTCAGAAAAGATCCCCTGGAGGAGGAAATGGCAACCCACTCCAGTATTCTTGCCTGAAAAATCTCATGCACAAAGGAGCCTGGCGGTCTACAGTCCAAGATTTGGGCATGATTGATAACTCAGCACAGCACAGTATATGTGTTTGCTGTAGTATGTGAAATGCTTTCTGTGAATCCTCTTGTGCTATATTTTAATCACTAGTATGTAGTGAAAAGACTTGGAGTGAAATTTAAGTTTTGCCAGCAAGCCTCTCCCCTTAATGCAAATAAGTAATACTTAAAAATATAGGTAAATAAATAATACTACTTTTTTATATAAGTAATAACATACATTGCTTTGTATTTTATAGATTTATATATTTTATACTTTTTAATATTCTTTTCCAAATATAGGTGGTAGACTTGGAAAAGTAAAGGGCCCAACATTCCGAATATCAGGTGTACAGGTGAATGCCAAGCTGGTCATCTCCCATGAAGAAGAATTAATACCACTGCACAAATCCATTCCTTCAGATCCAGAAGAAAGAAAGCAGTAAGTTATTTTTTCCGTTGTAAAATACTTGTTACTCAATAATTTGGACATGAGTGTATGTTAGAAGTGGTTTTTATTCCATGGCCAGTTTGAATGAAATGTTTTTAAAAATAAAATAAAGCACAGTATTTTGAAGTTCTAATGATCAAATATGGTTTTCAAAATTTTTAATGAGACAATTATAAACTTGACAGTGGTTGTTAACTTTAATGATAGGTATATCATCCCATGCCACACGAAGGCAGCTCATTTTGATATAGACTGGGGCAAAGAAGATGATTCCAATTTGTTAATTGGTATCTACGAATATGGATATGGAAGCTGGGAAATGATTAAAATGGATCCTGACCTCAGTCTGACACACAAGGTACTGAAATACTTGATTCTGTTGACCATTCTTGTTAAATTGAATTTTTGCTTTTAAATTATGTTAGAAATAAAGTCAACTCAGGGTCAGGAAAGTTAGCTTTGTGATCTTGGCTTTTTTGGAATCTGGTTTTCATGAAGGGATTGAATTTAAATGACGTCTAGATTCTGCTTTACCTCTGAAATTTCATTTGTTATTTTCACAGCATCAGGTTAGAAAGTAAGCCTCTCATTTAATCTTTAACTATCTATATTAATCAAGAGCAGAAAAGGATTGTTTTGTGAGTGTGTGTGTGTATATTTAAATACCAGTGTTTAGGATTTTTGGTGATTTGATGCTATCACACTTGTTATGGGCTTCCCTGGTAACTCAACTAGTAAAGAATCCACCTGCAATTGAGGAGACCCTGGTTCAATTCTTTGGTCTGGAAGTTCCCCCAGAAGAGACAGGCTACAAACTCCAATATACTTGGACTTCCTTGGTGGCTCAGATGGTAAAGAATCTGCCTGCAATATGGGAGACCCGGGTTCAATCCCTGTGTTGGGAAGATCCCTTGGAGGAGGGCATGGCAACCCCACCCTAGTGTTCTTGCCTGGAAAATCCCCATAGACACAGGAGACTGGCAGGCTACAGTTTGTGGGGTCGCAAAGAGTTGGACATGACTGAGCAGCACAGCACAGCACAGCACACACTCATTACAATCATTTCTTCGCCTAGAATGGGAGACACTGGAGGCCTGCCCAGTTCTTATACTTTATCTTTTTATATTTTACTTCTTCATGGACGAGGGGGAACCTTCAGCTATTTGTCATTTGCTACTATGAAGCAAAATTAGTTTATATTTTCATTGTAAAAGGTTTCTCACAGTGCCTGCTTTGGGTCTTCTTCTAGGTGGACAATACTTTATATTCTAGGGATTTTTGTTTACTTCACAGTTAAATACACTGTTTAGAAGGAAGGAAATCTAAGAATACTATGATTTTAATAACACTGACTGCTAATATACCATTATATATTTGAAAGAAATTTCTAACCTCATACTGTGTAGTCTCTTTATGAATAGAGGGATAGTTTTCTTGTGTATTTAGAATTCATTTCCAGAGAAAGAAATCTTTGTGGCATAGGTATAAAAAATGTATTTTACATTCAATGTTGTTTACTCTTTCAGGAGTTATAACTTGCTAGCACATTATACATGTTTTTTATGAGAAGGCATTTTTAAATGATTATTTCTCATGTTATTTATTAAAGACAAGATGAAAAAATTAATTGCTTTTCAGATTCTTCCAGATGATCCTGATAAAAAGCCACAAGCAAAACAATTACAGACACGTGCAGACTACCTCATCAAATTACTTAGTAGAGATCTTGCAAAAAAAGAAGCTCAGAGGCTTTCTGGTGCAGTAAGTTAAAATACGATGCTTAAGGGCACTTTACTTTTGGATAAGGTAAACCTATTTTACCCCATCACCCTAGATTCCTGTGGTTAACATGGGTTCATCAGTGTGTTTATCTGTAATTTAGTAGCTTTGTTTGAATATGGTAGTATTTTGCCTAACTGATCTCAACATTCAGGTTAAAACTCTACTGAGTCATGTCTTTCAGAAGAAGAATCTCTTTTTTCCTAGTATTTAGTATAGGAGCAACTTTTGGAGTGAATTGCGGTGTTTTTTGAGAGGTCAAGCCTGTGTTACTGGAGACAGGGCAGTAATTATATTTGGAGACATTAGGCAGCTTAAGGAATAGGAAGTATTAAAGATCACCAAGCTTATTTATTGATTGTGCTCCACAAAAGAAGGAAAAAGGCAGTAAAAGAGAGGTGATTGGAAACTAAAGCAACCTTTGAAAGTTTACCTGTGACCACAGTGTTAATAACTACCTCTGTACTATTTCAAATAATTTCTAATGCTATCTCTGGTGGCATTGTTTAGCTGAAGATGATAATTTAGGATTGTGAACAGCCCTTCTACTTCTCTCTGCTCTTTTTTTTTTTTCAAGGAATAATTACAGTTAGCATTTATTCAGATTAATTTGCATTTGATTAAGCTATATCACTTTTGTTGATAATTTCTAAGATTGGTGTAGCTTAGTACCAACAGATTAAGGATTGGGTAGGAGTGTCTATTCTTTTAGCTTAATTGATTTAGTATTTAAGATTTTTTAATGGATTCTGTGGGGTTGGTGAGAATAAAAATAATTATTTTTAGGGAGGTTCAAAAAGGCGAAAAGCAAGAGGTAAGAAGAATAAAGCAATGAAGTCTATAAAAGTGAAAGAGGAAATAAAGAGTGATTCTTCTCCCTTGCCTTCAGAAAAGTCTGATGAAGATGATGATAAGGTAAGAATGTGTTTTGGAAAAGCAACCTGTTATATATAGAAAAGGGCACATGGCAAGTTTTCAGTATGCTTTACATTTGAAATTTGAATTTAGGCTTAAAATTTTACTTTTAGATACTGAAGTCCTTTTTTATAATTTGTTGTATAGTCTCATTTATAGAATAGAATTCTACCATCCAGTAGAATATCATATGTCACTAAAGGGAGAGAGCAAAGGTCCTTCCTTTTCAAACATTTGCCATTTGAAGACATTGTCTCATTTTGTTATGAATTTTGAATGGGATTGGCTTATCTTAGTTTTTATTGCATGTATCATTACTAATGGGATTCTGGATTATTTCTCTCAGAATCCACATACATGCAATCAGTAGTCATGCAAAGAAAAGAAATTAGTCTTTGTCAAGATTTGGTTAGTAATACATTGGCCATACTTGCACTTTTCAGGATGAAATCACTTCTGTGAAACATCCAAACAAAAAAGTTAAAACAGAAAGAGACAGTGAAGAAAAAACTGAGCCAGATGTTTGTATAAAGAAGGAACCAGAAGAAAAGAGGGAAGCAAAAGAAAAGGAAAATAAAAGAGAACTTAAAAGGGAGATAAAAGAAAAAGAGGATAAGAAAGATATAAAGGAAAAGGATTTTAAAGAGAAAAGAGAAAACAAAGTAAAAGAAGCTATACAGAAAGAAAAAGACATAAAAGAAGAAAAGGTATGCAAATCATAATATAAAATTTAGAAAGTGACACAATCAACATATTTACATTTTAGGAGAGTAAACTGCCTATCAGCCCAGTTAATCTCAGTAACAGTTCTTTAAAAATACATATGCATATCTAGTAGAGTAGAAAACAGGTTTAAATCCTTTTTTAGATGCCTTACCTAGTAAGTAATATCATAGGATAGCTTTGTTTTTGGTTTCCCCAAGTGGAGAAAAGATAAAATAACACGTAAGGATGTTAAATGTGAAATTATAGGCTGCAGTGAGAGTAAATTGTCTTCTGGAGGTGTCAATCACTCTTGCGTTTGTTGTTGTGTATTTGTTCTCTCTTTTCACCAGTTGAGTGAATCCAAGTCTGAAAGCAAGGAAAGATCTAAGAAATCCTCAGTGTCGGATGCTCCAGTCCACATCACTGCAAGTGGGGAACCAGTGCCCATAGCGGAAGAATCTGAAGAGCTGGATCAGAAGACATTCAGCATTGTAAGTAGCAAAGTTTCTGGTTATTGGAAAAAATGCCTGTAACATTTGAGTTTATATTGATCTTTTAAAACTTTAAATTTAGAAATGTATTTGAATTTGATAGTACTGCACTTCTTAGTACTGGAGTTCTTACTGTTCTCTTGAACATGTCAGACAAGTTACAGGACGTTTTTACTTGCTCTTCCCTTTGTTTGAAATGGCTTACGCCTTCGTTTTCTTTAGGTATCTGCTCAAACATTATCCTTGTCTGAAATCTTATCCTTGTAGAAAGCTCCCTGCCATGTCTGTCTTTTTTTTTTTTTTTTAATCATAGTTGTCACCATTTTAAACACTATGTCTTGTTTATTTGTTGGCTCTATTCTCCTACTGGAGTACAAGCTCCATAAAAGCAGGGTCTTCATTTTATTTAATGCTCTATTTTCTGGGTCTAGAACAATGCCTAGAATATAGTATGTGTTCACCCTACAAGGGGCTTCCCAAGAGGCGCAGTGGTAAAGAATCTGCCTACCAGTGCAGGAGACACAAGAGATGCAGGTTCAATCCCTGGCTTGGAAAGATCCCCTGAAAAAGAAAATGGCAGCCCACTCCAGTATTCTTACCTGGATCCCAGGGACAGAGGAACCTGGCTGGCTATAGTCTGCAGCGTTGCAGAGTTGGATGCAACTGAGCATGCACCCACAGCAGAATATAAACTACCAAAATTGAATAAGAAATAGAAAATGTAGATAACAAATATGAATAACATAAAAATTAGATAAGAAATGTTTTCCCTTTTTTAAAAAGTCAGGCTTGGCTGAGTTCTAACTTTAACTAAAGAATACATAATTCCCAGTGTTTCCAGTGTTATTTAAATTATGCCTGACAAAAGATGGAAAGTTTCCCAACTGATGTGAAGAAATAGCTCAATAAAACAATAAAGTACTCAGAAACAAATTTTCACATATAAGGTAGACACCTGATTATAAGAAAGGCCCTTCCCAGCAGGGATGTGAGGATTTCTGTTTTTCAAATAAATGGTGGCATTAGGTCAACTAAATACATCATCTGTAGTTGACCCATCCTTGCATACCCAGAAGTAATCCTACTTGCTACTCGTGGATGTAATTACTATAAAATTTAAAGTTGTTTTTGCATTTATATACAATAAAATTTTTCTGTAGTTTGGTTTTTAGCAATAGTTTTAGTCTGGTTTTGGTATAAGGTTAATAGCTTTTATTACATAAATTGGACTTTATTGAATGGTACAGTTTTTGGTATGTTGTCCTTGTACTAACATTCTTGTGATATGTAGGCCGAGGAAAAAGACTGGTTTCTATCAGACACCCTGACATCCCTGACTACCTGCAATAGGATAACAGCAAAATTCATCATTAGCTACTTTGTTTTGTCCTAAGGAATTAGAAGAAGAGACAGTTTATACTTGTAGCTATATTGAAGTTATAGCTTTGCCAGTGTATTATATAGTTTCTTTTACATTTTATTCTGTATTAGAGCCAATATAGAATATTAAGTTATACTCTGAAATATTTTATCTTTTAACATTAAAACTGTTCAGAATGGTGTGCTAAAAGTAACTTTTTTAAAAAAGTAAGTAAAATCCAAGGCTTTTACTTACACAAAGATTGATTTTTAAATGATAATGGAAAACCTTGCTTTCTGAATAAAGTCTGAGGGGAAAATTCTGGATGTTTAAGAACTGTGAGGTGCGGTTTAATGCTCATTTCATGTTACATTTACTCATGTAAAAGTGTCACTGGAAGAAGTGGCTCTGTGTTGAATCCATGCCTTTAATGCGCAGTTCTGCTCTTCTTTTCCTGTTTCAGTGTAAAGAGAGGATGAGGCCGGTCAAAGCAGCACTGAAGCAGCTTGATAGGCCTGAGAGAGGCCTTTCGGAAAGAGAACAGCTGGAACATACTAGACAGTGCTTGATAAAAATCGGAGACCATATTACGGAATGTCTGAAAGAGTATACAAATCCTGAACAAATCAAGCAGTGGAGAAAGTAAGTGATGTATTTTTCAGGACGTGTTAAATTTGTAATTGTGTAACCGTCTTTTTGCCTCTTACTTGTGTCTAGGGCTTCCCTGATAGCTCAGCTGGTAAAGAATGTGCCCGCAATGCAGGAGACTCTGGTTTGATTCCTGGGTCAGGAAGATCTGCTAGAGAAGGGATAGGCTACCCACTTAAGTATTCTTGGGCTTCCCTTGTGACTCAGCTGGTTAAGAATCCTCCTGTAATGTGGGAAGCCTGGGTTCAATCCCTGGGTCAGGAAGACACCCTGGAGAAGGGAAAGGCTACTCACTCCAGTATTCTGGACTGGAGAATTCCAAAGAGTCGGACATGAGTGAGCAATTTCACTTCACTGTTTGTCTCTTGTATTTCAGTTTCTTTTTCACCTCCTGAAGTTTAGGTTACAGAATGTGTACAGGGGGAGGCTGATTGTTTTCATTTTTTTCCTTTAAAACATTTTATAAATAAGTGATTCCTTAATTATGCATAATGATAAACCACAGGTGGCATCTCTGCCTTTAGATAAATAGTGAAAGGTGTTTAATTAACATTCAGATTGCATTTTATTCTTAAAAACTTCCCAATTTACCAAATTATTCTCAGTAATATCTTCAGCTATTGGTGTGCCAATGTGTTACATAACTTTAGCAGTTCATCTTCTCAATATGACTATAAAGCCTTGTAAAAATAAATAGATTTTTATTACATTCCTCAAGCAATGTAAAATGGAGACTCTATTTTCCCCTTCATTTTAGAAGTAGTAACAACATATTTGATCTTAAAATTGTAAATCTGAGCTATGAAATGATGTGATAAGTGATACTATAATGTCATAAGTGGTAATAATCACTTAATGATTACCAAATGCAGGTCACTGTTAAGCCAGACTACTAGACAGGCTAGGAAAACAATAAAATGAGCATAAACTAGTTATTAACAGCTGTTTATTAACCTACTGATTTCTTTGCTATGTGCAGTGCAGCTGCATATCAGAACAAAAGACTTTATTGCATATTTCTGCAGGAGACATGATGATTACACTAAATTAAAAAAAAAAAAACTATCCTTATCCCCATCTTAAACTCAACCAGGACTCATTTCAGAAAGAGGAGATAGGAAGTTGATCATGATCACTAGGCTTTTGTAAATGAGTGAGGCTGAGCTCGTGTCTGAAGAAACTAAAGCCTTGCATGGACGGTAAGAAGAGTCTAAAGCCATGTGCCTGTAATGACATGGAATGATCACTGAGGTTGGCATCACATGACATGCATACTTAGTTGCAACTTGCCTAATTTCTGACTTTATGACCTTGAACAGTTACCACTATGTATGAGTCCCCCAGTATTATCACCTGCAAAATGTTAAGACTGCATATTTTTCAGTTGTTGAAGAAAAAGGAAAGATTTTTATGAAGAGTGTGTGTGTCTTAGTCGCTCACTCATGTCTGACTCTTTGCGACCCCATGGACTGTGTCCTTCTAGGCTCCTCTGCGCATGGAATTCTGCAGGCAAGAATACTGCGGTGGGTAGCCTATCCCTTCCCAGGGGTCATCCCGACCCGGGTATAGAACTCAGGTCTTCTGCATTTCAGGCAGATTCTTTACCACATGCGCTACCAGGGAAGCCCTTTTACGAGGAATGAGAGGCAATAATTCTCAAGTACTATATTCATAGTGTCTAGTTTAATAGTTTATTTATGGTTGGAATATATATACTGGAGCTTAATGCTTTCCTAAATACCATAAAAGAGAATTATTCCATTTTTTTCAAACTCTTATCTACTCATACAGTGACCTCTAAAATACAGAACTATGGGATAGGAATACATCAAGATTAAGTGAGAATACAGCCACATTCTCTGTCTTTTCATATTTAAGAGCCAAAGTTAAATTTTCTGTGTCATTGATTCCTGAACATATTCTTGATTGTTGTTTGAAATAAATTATAAAATAAAAGAAATGCAGTGAGTTATCTTTAAAGCTGAATTTGATTAAAGGATTATATTAAAACTATTTGCCGCCTTTAGTGTAAAAAGAGCTTAGTTTCTCTCTGAAAATACTTGTGTACTACATACCAGTTTTTAAACCTTCATGTAATTAGAGTTTATATTTTTGAGTTTATGAAGAAGGCAGAGTATAGATTTTACTGGCTTTTTAGATTAGAAATGTGCAGCATCTTGTTGAAATTACATGTTGACTAATACAAGTAGTTACTTCAGGTTTAGTTACTAGGAAAAGGGGAGGAAAAAACCTCTAAAAGAAGAGAGACCAAATAGCCAAGAGACTTTTGTGTTCACCCTTAACTTTCAAGGTTTTATTCGTCTTTCTACACAGCTGGGCAACTTACCTTTTATTTTTCCTCCCACTCTCATCTACCTTGATTTCATATTCCTTGGTACTTATTCCTGCTACCACTGTCTCTGATTATACCAGATTCCTTTAAATGGTAAAGGAGAACAGAAAGACCCTAACTGAGGAATATTTCAAGAGCAAATTAGTTTTTACTCAGTGCTGTCTTGGAGAAAAATTGGGGGAAAATGTAGAAGCAAGGGTAAGAGTCCCTTGTGTTAAAGGTTGAGCTTCTGATCACCCGACCCTACCCCTACTCCACCCCACTGAACACAGCTGCGGTTTCTGATTCTACGAAAGGAAGAACGGTTAAGACCTTTTCTGCAGTTGTAAAGATGGAGAATTGATCCGTGATTATACAGCAGTTGACTTTAAGCCAATTTTTATAGTAACCGTAATTTTATAACCTGCTTTATTTCTTGCTTATGGATGTTTATATACAAGTATTTTGGCTTGTATATAAACATGAGTAGTTTATGAGGAAATGTGACACTAGTTTTTTATTTAAAAATCACTTGTAATCTAGTGATAAGCATAATAATGTGTATTTGTGTTTCACTTGTACTTTCCTATGCTTCGTTCAAAGATCGCTCTAAAAATGCTCTGTTTAGGAAGTCTTAACAGTTATTAGCTCCACTTTACAGAAGAAAAAAAATTGGACTCAGGTAAACAACCTTGTAGGGCCAGGACCTGGGGGATGGCAAAGGAGGCATGTAGTGCACGAACTTTAACAAGGCACTCATGCTGCACTAGTTCCAGGTCTGGAGTTGTGCCCAAGATCACAAAGTTTAGCAGGTGATATAATTAGGACCAGAATCTGATTCCAACTAGATTTTTTTCTATGGAAAAGGTATTTTTAAAGAGAAATTACTAACAAAAACACAGTTTATTAATTCCCTACCTCTTTACTCTTTGAACTGTAGAATGGCGATAGTCTATAAATTCATTTAAGGACTAGTTGAATTTTCTCAGCTGCTGTGGATTTCACTTCACTTGGGTATTATTTAATTTTCTAAGTTTGTCCCTGTGATGGACAGGGAAGCCTGGTGTGCTGCAGTCCATGGGGTTGCAAAGAGTCAGACACTTGTGGGCGACTGAACTGAACTGAAGTTTGCTTATAAATTTTATTTCAAGGTTAATGTCATACCTATAGTGAACATTTTAACATCTTCTGATGACCATTTCCCTAACACAGTATTCTTAAAAATTTAAAGACATGCTGATACTTGTGGGGAGGGGGGCACATAAAGACATGCTGTTTCTTTTTAGCCTTTTGTTGTAATGAACAACAAAGTGAGAACTAGAATGTACTCATTATCTTTAACGAATAACTCAAGTACTTGATACATTAATAGAACCCAATAACATTAATTTCATTTATTTTTAAACAAGACAAAACTTGCATTTTACTTTATTAAAGTATAGTTGACTTCCACTGTTAGTTTCAGGTATACAATGTTGTGATTCCGTAGTTGTATAGATTAGGTACCATACAGAGTTTATACTATTGACTCTGTTCCTTGTGCTGTATATTACATCCCAGTGATGTGTTTATTTTGTAACTGGTAGTTTGTACTTCTTAATGCCCTTGACCTGTCTCACTCAGGCATCTGTGCACGTGCCCTCTGGCAGCCACTAGTTTGTTTTCTGTGAGTCTGTTTCTGTTGTATGTTCTACCCAACCAGGTCCATCCATGTTGTCCCAAATGGCAAGGTTGTGTTCCTTTTTATGTCTGCGTAATATTTCTCTGTGTGTGTGTGTGTGTGTGTGTGAGTGTGAGCGAGAGAATTCCACTTTTTTATCCATTCATCCATCTATGGATGGACACTTAGGTTGCTTCTATGTCTTGGCTTTTGTAAAATGATGCTGCAGTGAACATGGCGTTCATATATCTTTCTGAATTAGTGTTTTCATTTCCTTCAGAGAAGTATAGAGGAGTGGAATTGTTGGATCATAAGGTAGTTCTATTTTTAATTTTTTGAGGAACTTACATGCTGTTTTCCATAGTGACCATACCAATTTATATTCCCAGCAACAGTGCATGAGGGTTCCATTTCCTCCACATCCTGGCCAACACTTGTTTTTCCTTTTTTATAATAGCTGTTAGGTGTGAAGTGATATATCTTGTTTTGGCTCTGATTTGCATTTCCCTGATGATTAGTGATATTGAGCATCTTTTCATGTACCTGTCAGCCATCTGTATGTCTTCTTTAGAAAAATACTCAGGTTCTCCACCCATTTTTTTCTCAGTTGCTTTTTTTGATATTTTAATTTCAAAAGAAGCTGTTTTAGTTTAATGTCAAACAATGAATAACAATGGGATTTGGCTAATATATAAATTACAAAGATTTTAATATATTTAGTATTGAAGTTGTTGAATGATTTGATTTCCCCAACCACTATCTGATATCTTTAATGACTTGATACTAGCTGTTCCTTCTTTCTTTCATTTCATTGATAATTGATTAGAGAATAGTATTGTCTAAAGAATATTTCAAATAAAAAAACTAAGTAATATTGACTACTTATTGATATGCATGAAGTGTTTAGGGGGAGATACATTAATACCTATACTTTTTCTTTGAAATGCAAACAGAAATTAGAGAGAGTGACAGAGGGATGGCAATATGGAATGATATCTGATAAAGTAGGCAGAGTAAAATGCTAATAAGAGAATCTAGGTGTTAAGTATATGGGTGATCATTGTAAAGTTCTTTTGTATCTTTGATGTACGAAAACTTTCATGATGTTGAAAAATTAACAAAATAATTATACATGTGTATTATGAAAATGTTCCTTTAGTTTAAATTAGCCTGCTAATATTAGTCTAGATAACTTGATAACTTGATAAGCCTTGTTAATATGCTGCATATTTTACTTAAGTAGCCAAAATTTACAGGCTATATGAAGTATTACTAGAGAAACAAATTTTGAGAATATTACACATATATATGCACATTAAATATAAGGGTTTTGAGTGACTGCTCTTTAAACTGCAATACATTTTGATAGTTTTTGTAAAATTATAAACCCAAATATTGATGAAGAATTGGTATCATCTTATACTGCAGTTAAGCAAATAGCTGTCACAAACTAAAAAAGAAAAGAAAGCACTTGAGAAAGCCATAACTGACTTAACAACACTGGTAAGAATTCTTTTAGAAATCACCAGTTATCCGTCTCTGTATACACATATGCTGGGATAATTTTGTAGTTATTGCATGATGCACAGATTTCTGATTTCCAAAGTTTACTAACACCTAGCAGTTTAGTAGTTTACTAGCTAGCAGCTCTTCACACATATCTGTGTTCAAAATCAAAAGGCTGGGAATGTTTGATCTTAGTGGAAAAACAATTAGGAACCCTGTCTTCTGGCCTTACCTAGTCACTTAGTCTCATTACCCCATTTGTTTATTTTAAATATTCTCTGCTACATTTGACTGCCTACCTGAAGGATGGTTACAGGTTAGGTACTTTATGCAGTTATCTCATTCAATACTTCGTAACAGTATATGTTTTGTAGTCCTGGGCAATTGATGGGTGCTTGGTAGTTGAGAGAAATATGTCTTGGCTATTAAGAAATCCCCAAATTAAGTGCTTTTGTTATATAATTTTATTTCTCCCATATAAAAAAATGAGAAAAGTTATTTTCTAGCTAAGGATTTTTGCTTTTTTAGACTTTCTTCTGTTACTATCACTGAGAGATAACTTTCTTTTGGGAAGTCATTATTCACACACACAGGGTTTTACTGTTTTTAAAACGTCACATAAATCTGGACTTGTGCCTCAGTGGTAAAGAATCCACCTGCAGTGCAGGAGACATGCGTTCAGTCCCTGACCCAGGAAGATCCAGCATGCCTTGGTGCAGCTAAGCCCGTGCACCACAGTTGTTGAGCCTGTGCTCCAGAGCCCGAGAACCACAACTCGGGAACCTGTGTGCCACAGCTGCCGAAGCCTGCACACCTAGGGCCCATGGCTCTGCGACAAGAGAACCCACTGCACTGGGGAGCCCACACGCCACAACTAAAGGCTAGCCCCCATTCACCGTAACTAGAGAAAAGCCCACATAGCAACAAGGATCCAGCACAGCCAAAAAAAAAAAAAAAAATCCCTTAAAATCTGTTGCTTGAACTCAGTAAAGATATTGATGTTGGGTAGTCCACTAAACCTTCATCATTGGCTATTTAGTAATTTCTTTACTCTGTTTATGTAAGCAAGATTCAAAATCTTTAACATACCTACTGGAAAAATTGTAAATATATGAAATTATTACTGTTAAAGTGATGGCAGACAGACTTCAACTCAGGTGTCACTGATTAGCAGTGGCTCTGAAGAAGCTGTGTTGGGATGAATCCAAAGACTGCATCTGAACTTGTGAAGGACTACCATGGTCAATTACTAATCCTAATCCCAGCATTGGGATGGGAGGAGAGGCGTAAACATAGAATACTGTCCTGGGCTTACAGTGTCTGATCACGTTACTCTTAGGACATTACATTATATCACAGTTATAAAATGACAGTAGCCTTTTAATGCATTATTCAGGACTTCTCTTTCACAAGCTTAATCCATGTTTTCTGATGATACTTTACTTGAACTACTGACATAGTTTATTCCTTTTATATCTAATCTGAACCATAATATGAATCCCATCCTGATTTGTAACTTTACTTCTCTTTGGTTTCAAATTAGGATTGATTACTACTTTTCAAATCTGAAGTTTATAAAATGAAGGAATTTGGAAGAGAAGTAAAAGTTAACACTGTCTAGTTTTATTGGGAATCTTATCCACTTACGGAGGTTTTTTTGTGTTTTTTTTTTTTGTTTTTTTAATGCTAGAAATAACATCCTGAGACTTTGTTCCAGAGAGGGCTAAGATGTGTGTGTTTCTGTGTATGCTAAGGGGATTTCATTAAAAACTAAGTATTTTCCACAGACTAATTTGCCTTTTATTCTTCTAGAAACCTGTGGATTTTTGTATCTAAGTTTACTGAGTTCGATGCAAGAAAATTACATAAATTATATAAGCATGCTATTAAAAAACGGCAGGAATCTCAGGTAAGTAAATGCATCATTTTTTTTATGTTATTAAGACAGATATTCTTCTTTATACAAGAATTCAGCTAATAAATGTAGAAGGAATAAGGGAAATAGAAAATCTCTATTAAAGTATTAATACCACAGTAAAAATTGTTGCAGGTAGGCTCCTCCAAGGAAAGCTAAAATTAGTGGGCAAGAAAACAAGACACTAGCATAGTCTGAAAGTATCTCCTCCAAGATCTTTATTGATTCAGTTCAGTCACTCAGTCATGTCCAACTCTTTGCGAACCCATGAATCACAGCACGCCAGGCCTCCCTGTCCATCACCAACTCCCAGAGTCTACCCAAACCCATGTCCATCAAGTTGGTGATGCCATCCAGCCATCTCATCCTCTGTCATCCCCTTCTCTTCCTGCCACCAATCCCTCCCAGCATCAGGGTCTTTTCCAATGAGTCAACTCTTCGCATGAGATGGCCAAGATATTGGAGTTTCAGCTTCAACATCAGTCCTTCCAGTGAACACCCAGGACTGATCTTCAGGATGGACTGGTTGGATCTTCTTGCAGTATTACAAAGAGAAAAATCATAGCTTTGTAGAGGGGAAACCTGCCTTCGCCGCCTTAAACTGGCCTTAAACAAGCAGTTAAGATTAATGTCACCAGTGATAAGACATATTGACATCATGAACCCCCTGTACTGTGTACTGAAAAGGTATATCACTTTGTGGCATTCTTGGCAAAAAGGAATCACACGTCAAACCATGAGAAAATATCAGATAAACCCCAGTTGAGAAATATTCTATAATTGTCTAGTACTCATCAAGTGTCAGGGTCTTGGAAGACGAGAAAAACTATCCCAGATTGTAGGAGACAAAGAGCACCTGAGCCCAGATTGGATTCTGGAGAAGATGAACCTCAGTGGGAAATCTGGATAAAGTGTGTGTGGTTCAGTTAAGAGTGTTGTACTAAAATATAAAGTTTTAGGTTTGATTAGTATACTGTGGTTCTGTAAGAAACATTAACATTAGGAGAAACTGGTGAAAAGCATGTGGGAACCCTCAGTACTATTTCTGCAGCTTTTCTCTCAAGTCTAAAATCACTTCAATTTTTTTAAAAAAAGGTCATGGGACGCACAGTTTCTGCTTTTAAAAAATATCTGCTAATGTTACATTTATACATTCTAATAGGGGAGAACTTCTTTTAGCATCAGGATTTTCTTATTCATGTTTTACAACATTATTTGAAGCCACTTAAAAGATTCTTACATATGTGTATTTATTTTAGCAAAATAATGACCAGAACAGCAGCTTGAATACTCAAGTGACTAGAAATCCAGGTAAGTCAGTCTTGTTAATTGTTTTGGAAAGTCAGTTTGAAAACTGACTTTTTTTTTTACTGGGAGGGTGAGGTGTTTTAGATGATATATGCCCATATTAAATGTAGTGTCTTAATCCTTTTTAGCTTATTAACTTTTCATAAATCACTATTACCAGTTTCTAGAAATTATAGAATTGTTGAGCATATTTTTAAAAAATTATTTGGAATATTAACAGATTAGTTAATATTAATAGATTAATTATATTAATCTAATTAATTGAGTAATTTATTGTTCTGTGCAAGAGTCATAAAAGTGTAGTCTGAGAAGGAAATGGACCTTACATTTTTCATTGTGATTCTTCACATTTCAGATTAAAGTAAACCTATTCATAAGCCTTAGTATGGCTTTTTATAAACTATTTTCTAAGGGCTTGAACTGCTTGTATTTGGGAACTAGACAGTCAGGAATCCGCCTGCAGTACTGGAGACTCAGGTTCAATCCCTGGGTTGGGAAGATACCCTGAAGAAGGGAATGGCTACCCACTCCAGTATTCTGGCCTGGAGAATCCCATGGACAGAGGAGCCTGGTTGGCTGCAGTCCATGGGGTCTCAAAGAGTTGGACAGGAGTGAGTGACTAACACTTTGACTTTCTCACTTTTGTTGGTTGGAGCTGAAGCAGGAGTTCTTATAATCTAGCAGTTAAATTACTTTTGTTCACCATGTATTTTTTTAAGTCATTAACGGAAGTTGGACACTTTTATCTAACAGATGTGGAAAGATTAAAAGAGAATACAAATCATGATGACAGCAGCAGGGACAGTTATTCATCTGACAGACACTTATCTCAATATCATGATCATCATAAAGACCGACATCAGGGAGATTTGTACAAGAAGAGTGACTCTAGAAAGAGACCTTATTCTTCTTTTAGTAATGGTAAAGATCATCGTGATTGGGATCACTACAAGCAAGACAGCAGGTAAACTTGACAGTTTTAAAATTTTGCATATTGATGTCTTTATTTGTTGTGTTTGACTTTATTGACCAATTCAGTTTTCAGGTAACCAAAACACGTCTGATGTAAAATAAAGGTTAAATAAGAAAAAATGGGTTTTTAATTATAAATTTAAGGTCAGAGTATACAGTAGGAAAATATTTAGTGTAGGAAGTTCTGTAGTCATGGGATTCATTGTTGGTTTGGAGAATATCGGCTAAAATACTTTTCAAAATATAAAAGACTGATGAACTGTGGCTGAAGTGTGATGGTGAATTCTATGTTCCATTGCATTAAAAAAAACTAATTTTTGTTTGAATAATTATGTGAAAACAACTCATTGAGGTTAAATTTAATCAAAGCAATCTGAAGATAGTCCTGAAATCATGAAGTTTTCTCCACTTACTGTTTTTTTGAAGTCGAAGTAGTAAACAACTAGAATAGAATAACAATACATTTTACTCCTTTTGATAAGGGAATATTTTCATTTAATAAGCCAAATAAAAATACCCAGAAGAGTAAAAGATCAGAAATTAAGAAATTAAAAGGTTTGTTTTTATTTTAGTTGTGCTCACTGAAATTTCTTCTGAGAAGTACAGCCACAATATAAACTTAGAATAGCACACAATGAGAAAGAAAAGCCATATTTGTAGCGGTAAATGTTTATAATTTCACAGACTTGCATAACAGTTTATATTGCTTATAATAAGGACCTTTTGTGAACAAAAAACCATTAAGTTATGTTTGGTGTATTTTATTTGAAAAGGCAAACATCTTAGAAATTACTTTTCATTAAACTCCCATAGATTTTTAGCAGACTGCCACACATTTATGTATGGAGTAAATTTCACAGTGATTTATATATCAAATCTTCCTATATAAATAATCAGATTAAGGAAGCTTTTTAAGAGGCATCACCAACCAATAAAAGTTCTCTTTTATAAATATATATATCATAGACTATTTTAGAGATTTTTATTTATTTTTCCTGCTTCAGACTCAAAGGGCTCTGATTTCAAGGGTATTTTAGATGGATGTAGTTATCTTAATTCTAATTAATTAATTCCAATAAAGATGCATTAATGCAAATGATGCATAGAAGAAAAAGTAGCAACCAATCTTAAATGGCCATGTGAAGTTAGATGCCATCTGAAGTGCTTTGTATGGTTTCACTTTAGTTTTATGAATGGAATAGTTTTTCCAAAGACATGCAGAGATAATTTTTCAGTGATTTTTAATGAACTCACTTAGGAAATTTTGTGATGAAATACTGAATTTGTATACAATTAGAAGTATGCATTATTTTTGGTAAGATTTATTTGGAAACATTTCATTAGCATTGCTAATTTAAAATTCCTAATTTCTCTTTTATTAGATATTATAGTGATAGAGAGAAACACAGAAAACTGGATGATCACAGGAGTAGAGACCACAGATCGAATTTGGAAGGAAGTTTAAAAGACAGAACTCATTCTGATCATCGTTCTCATTCGGATCATCGATTACATTCAGACCATCGATCAAGTTCTGAATATACCCACCATAAATCTTCCAGGGATTATAGGTATCACTCAGATTGGCAGATGGACCATAGAGCTTCCAGTAGTGGCCCCAGATCTCCACTAGACCAGAGGTCTCCTTATGGCTCCAGATCTCCATTTGAACACTCAATTGAACACAAAAGTACACCTGAGCATACCTGGAGTAGTCGGAAAACATAACAAAAACTGATATTGTCTTTTCTGGACTTTTCTTTTAGCCATATATCATAAACCAACACAGTAATTGCCTTACATGACTTGAAAGATATAAACAGATCTTCTGTCAGTAGCAGTATTGTTACTTCTTTCCAGGATGCAAGGTCTATTATCCCAACAGAAGAGAAAATATTTTTATATTTAAGGATTATGCTGCACTGTACTACAAATATTGTAGTACTATTTTTTTTTTCTTTTTTAAAGAAATGGAAAATGTTTACTATTACAGGGACCTCAACACTGCCCTTCCATGTAGGCTGGATAAAACTGTTTTTAAGTCAGTAATTTTAGACTGACGTCCATTTAAATTATGTTTGTATATGAACTTTACTCTTACCTGTGATCATGTTTCAGGAAGGAATGAAAGAGAGTTCTTTTCTTAATAAAGAAAACACACTCAAGGACTTTATTCACTTTCCAAAGCTACTTGTTTACATTGTACACTGCGACCACCTTGCCGCTTTTCATCACAAGCTTGAATATTTAAATTCTGTACTTATATCTGTAAAATAGCCAGGAATTTCCTGTTTGTGATCTATTATTATGCCTTTTTACACACACACAAACAATGACTGTAAATTATTGTAAATGAATTAAATGAGCTTTCCTTACTTCCTTCCCCTTCTCAGGCTTTTTTTGACTGTTCCTTTCCCTACCAACTCAGGCCTTCTTATTGTTTAAATATATATATATATACATATATATATATATCAGTGTAATAACACTTTTTAATGATTTGTCTTGATGGAATCATTGTTTAGAATGTAAAAAAAAAATGGGGAAAGGGGCCACTTAATTCCATTATAGTCCTTTTTATATTGACTATTTTATTAGATACATGTTATTTCTTTCCTTTTCCCTTTTTTAGTCAATATTGTGTAACAGAATGGTGAGATGATCTGTAAAATCTAAACTGCATGCTCTGGAAACATTTGTTTCAGATGCATTTGGTTTAAAAGGGTAGGTCTATGAACACTTTCAGAATCCAAAAGGCCAAAAGTTATTGTAAATCCATTTGTTTTCCTTTTCATGTGGGCAATAATGTCAAATGTGCTATGCAGCCAGGTAACATTTTAGATAAACTTGATTGACTTTTAATAAAAACTGTTACAATGCACACTGATTGTATATAAAAACCTTATATATGACAAATTAAATTTAAGAAAAAGGATATGTGGGCTCCTGTAATTTTCTGCTGCATTCTTATTCCCTCAAGCACCTAACTTTTTTTTTTTTTTTAAGTAGTAACATTTAGTTTCCAGAAAAGAGTATTTTGGTAAGGAGTTGAACATTGTTAATTTGTGGCACTACAATTAAAATCTATTTTGAAGAATATATGAATATATGAAGTAAAATTTAGATAATAGAAATCTTTGCTGGACTCTTGATTTTAGCAGATATTATTTTAGAATGCCTTATATTTATTTACAGATTTTTTTTTATTTTGTTATATTCAGTGGGAATTTTTTAATCTTGTAGCATACACTCTTGGATGTGTGCTGTGATATAACACATTTGAACCTTAACTTTGAAAAATATAAGTATATTGATATATTCCTACAATATTCATAAATGTGTCTGTAGATTAGCTGTGGGAGTGATGTACAGAATTTGTCTATAGATATATTTTTAATATTTTCCTTTTATCCAGTTAGGTCTAAAATTTACACTATGTGTACTAAACAGAGCTTCTATATCCCCCCAACCCTTTTTTAACAGCAGTGATTCCTGTTTAGATAGTTATCTTGAATGTCATTTCCTGGTATGTCAGATAACTTGTGGAATAACTCAATTTTTATAAAAGTGATAAAACAACTTAATGCTGGTATACATTTTTGTAAGAGTTATCATTTTTTCCACTATTAGTATAAGTGATTACTTTATTCCACAATATAACATTTAATTAAAAAATTGTAATGCTTATTAAAGTCATAATAGTAATACATCTAACAGATCAGGGTTGACATTTCCATTCATCACTTTGTAGCTGGGACATTCGCATTATATCCTATTGTGAAAATTTCATAATACTACATTTTTGAGACAAATGGAATGGACTCAACTTTCTTAACAGTGCTGTGTTTAGTTGAATATTTCAGGCAACTAATCAGCTGAGTTGAATGAAAAATCTACAACTGTATGTAACATTTATTAATTGATGGCAAATATGTTCATTATTTGTAAGAATCAGCAGTTACGTAGAAAAGGAACAAGCCATACATTTTTAAAGACAAAATGGAGAAAAACATCAGTACATAGGTATGACAGGAAACATTCTCTAAAAATATGCTTAATTTTTGTCTTTTTACATGCTCATTCTGATTTGCCATTTTTATCCATTTGTGTTTAATTTTTTAAGAATGAGGTTATGCATAGTACTGTACTAATTAACCCTCCACCTTAAAAATATACAATAAATGATTCTTATTAAAAGCAATGGTCTGTTTGCGTATGAAGAAAATATTCTTTGTTTAGGGTATGTTAGAAAATAATTTTCAGATTGGAAAGCTGTGAAAAACGAGTGTGAATGATTCGTTTGTTAATTTCAGAGTGAGTGGGTTAATAAAATGAGAGCCTTTGAAGTTGCATAAAATGTAGTAGACTACATATGTAATTTCTCTTGAGATCTGTCTTTAAGGTTAAATAATGGAAGGTTTGTGTAGATTATATGTTGCTTTACCCTGATTTCATTTCCTTGAGATTTATCCAGAATATACACAAAGGGTAGATGGCATAATACTGTCTGCACCACATTACTGTTTCTGACTAGAAAATGATTGTTGGAATATAAATAACTTTGAACGTTTTTAAGGTGGGATTTGAAAAAGCAACTAATCTTTAAATATAGGATTTTTTTCCGTAGACTTTCCCAGGCTCATCTGAAACAGTATGAACTAGTAAATGTGACTATACTGTTAAAGTTTCTAAATTGATATATTTAAGCATATTAACATAGATACTTCTATTAAACAGATTATTTACATTCAAGGCTCAATTTAAAAATGCAAACTATTACATATTATTGGGGCACTTTACGCAAGACTGATGGATGGAACACATTTAAAAGGAAGCAACTAGATAATAGTGCACCAACAAAAATATCTTGAGAAAATGGCAAAATTTCTGTGTTAAAATTCTTAAGGCATTTACTTTTAGACATTTATAAGAAAGTTCAATTTTTTATTTTAGCACCTACCTAATAGGTTGATTTTATTACAGATAATCTTTGGATTCCTTATAAAGAAAGACCTAGATTTAGGAAATAATACTTATGTCAAATAATGAAAGATGAGATTATGTGGTAAAGCAGAATTTAAAAAATAGTTTTCAGATTGTTTTCAAGTCCCTATACAAGATCTCCAGGGGGGCTTCATGTGCCAGATTTTCTGTTGTAAAAGGCCATTAGCCACCCTGTACTTCAGTTAAAATAAAATAAACTTCCCTAACTTGTGCTTGAAATGGGATTGGTAAATCAAATTCCCAAATGAATGAAATGTTTAATGGTAATTCCATATTCCACTGTACATTTGAGTTTTGATCTAAATATTAAATTGAAGAGGTATAAACAGTCTCAAGGAATTCCCTAGCTTATAATGGAATTCCCTAGCTTATAAAAGGAATTCCCTAGCCTATTAAATGATCATTGACTGCATTGATGACATACATATTAACACTTCACATGCAGAAATGTGCATTGCATTGTAATTTAATATTGTAGGCTGCCATTAGATTTCCAGTCTGTAGAATGAGCTGTGGAGTTGAACTGGCACTTGTTGCTTGTTTTACCCTTTCTTTACTTTTAAAATCTTAGATTTGTCTCTGGTGTTGTAGTTTCACTGTGCTAAGTCTAGGTGTGGTTTTTTTGTTTTTTTTTTAATTTATTTGCTCAGGTCTTGCCTCTGCCGAGTTGATTTTACTTTCTGGAATTCCTATGGTATTCTAGCCTATAATTTTTGAACTTCAGTTCCCTGTCTCAACAGCTTTACTGTTTTTCTTTCTCTTGCTATTTCTGTGCTAAGTATCTTCAACTTAACCATTCCCCATGAAGTCATCTCCACTTAGATATCTAATGTGTGTGTACTCAGTCATGTCCAACTCTTTGCGACCTTATGGACTGTAACCCACCAGGCGCCTGTGTCTATGGAATTTTCCAGGCAAGAATACTAGAGTGGGTTGCCATTTCCTCTTCCAGGGGATGTTCCCAACTCCAGAATAGAACCTGTGTCTCCTGCATTGGCAGGTGGACTCTAAAGATATCTAGTAGATACCTAATTTTAAAATAGTAAAACTTGCTTCAACTCTTCACCAATGACAGTTTAGAAAAGAAACTTCCAAATGTTCCATAATTTTTGTTCCAATTTTATAAAACAACTGTTGACACCAGTCATCTATTAGATAAGCTGCAAAGGTTTCCTCCTAGTGCATGATTTGTGTTTTCGTTTTCTTAATGATCTCTTTTGAAATGCAGAATTTAAAAAATTCTGATAAAGTCCAGTTTATCCACCTTTTTTCTCTAATTGTTCATTAATTGTGTATAGAAATCTTTGCCTAACTTGAGGTCACAAGGATTTTTCTATGTTTTCTTCTGGGAGGATTATACTTTTAAGTCTATAATTCAAGTTGATTTTTGTATGTATTATAGTATGAGTATGGATCAAAATTGTGTGGGGGGGTAAATTTTCTTGTTCTTTGTTTTTGGAATATGTATATCCCATTTTTCTAGTACCACTTGTTAAAAAGACTATGTGTGGGTCTGTTTCTGAACCCAGAAACTGGTACTGGAATTACCAGTATAGTAATTCCCTATACTGGTCTATTAGTTTATATTTCTATGCTAACACCACACTACCTTGATGACTTTATAGTAAATCATGAAATCAAATAGTATGAACTCTGAAATTTTGTTCTTTTTCAAAATCATTTGGCATTCTAAATTCCTTTGCTTTTTTATGTATATTTTAGGA